TCAATACCTTGCGGAAGGTAGTCGTAACAATATCAGTTTTCAGCTCAATTTTCATCCGAACGGCGGTTCATCGGGTTGTTCAGTATAAACAATATTGTACAATTTTGAAACTAATGTCAGTCAGTCTATTAAAAACCAACCTTAGATAATGACTTATTGCGGTTAAAAAAAGTTGACCAATATAAAACACAAAAAAACAAACAAAATATAATCAACCAAGATGCATAAAAGCTTTTAATACGTAAAAAGTAAATTAAACCCAGTTCGTGCACCTGTTTAAATCCAAGATTCTTGATTCACGAAGTTTGGCGTCAAGAATAACAAAAAGACATTGAGGATTCTTCAGATTCCTCTTATTCTCGATGATACGCTGTTTTAATTTGTCCTGCTTCCGTTAAATAGCTCCGTCAAAAGCATTAAAAAAAAAAGGAACAAAGCAAGTTAGGCTATTAATCATGTAACTCCCCTGTTCGTGGTTTTTGGTTGGAGTAACAGCGGTTACAAAAATGCAGATTTCAAGCTTCAAGATTAAAAATTGGCTTTGCAATACCACCATTCGTAAGACTCGTGTTTTATTTTACTTTTCTGTTGCCTTTTACTACTCTAAATGTTTTTACGCACACCGCACAGGTTGATTACTTTAGATTATATATGGCCAAAAGCCGAGGGTGTACAGAATAATAATTTCACCCTAAGGCCTACATACTTGTGCTCCGTAGCGAATAGCTGGTAGCCACAAGAAAAGAATTTCACTAAGAGCTGACAAGACATGTCAGCTTGATAGATAGTAAAGAAGATCGTCACAGGCAATCCAAGAGACGGCAAAAATCTCAGGTAACAATAATTGTGTAAATCGGCGAACGTTGATCACCTACCTCCTCGCCTTGTCAATAAGAAAGTGCAATCGGGCTCTTGCATGGTATAAACAATGACTTACAGTGTTCAATTTCCGTTTGCATGACCATGTAATATTGCACAAAATGCGACGGATTCGAAGGACGAACGTACACGCAAACAGCTGTTTTGAGTACAAAAGTCCAGTCATACTCTACACCTCATTCGGGCTAATTGCCTTGAAGAACAAAATGTTCTTACAACAAACAGCAACATTAACGAGTTCGGTGGCATTTCATGTCAAAGAAAATTTAAAATTTAGCTTCGTCAATGTCTTTAGTCGGTTAGTATTTCACACTTTTACAACCACCTAGTAATCATGAAAACGAGGTCACCAAAACATTTCGTCGGTAAAGTTTATTTTCAAATTAGCTTTTTTAATTTCGCTTAATATATAGGAACTTGAATTAATTACACTATTTTTATATTTGCTCTAATACGCCGGAATCATTAGAAGAAGTTGTCTAAATAGTCTTAAATTAATGTTTTCTGAGTCAGGGATGAGCTTAAAAAAAAATAAACCAGCGAAACGGAAAAAGGCGCTTGTCATCAAGTTAAACTAATTATTGCTGTCGATGAATTTTAATGAAATAGTAGAATGATGACAATTGTAAGTATCATAAATGTACTTGTTACATACTTATTTCAAGTTAACTTTTATATTGGTATTACCACCCCTATTAATACTGTTATTATCATTATTTTAATTAACGATGTTGATGCTGATGATGACGAAATGATGGTGATGACGATGATGATGGTGTTATTGATAATGAAAGATTTCATAGAAATGTCATTATGGTATTAAATTGCTTCTAAAATAAGAAACACCAAATTCTCCTTTGTGATGATCTGTACTCTTCCGTTTATAATCCCTGAGCTTATACAACTTCGTATTGGGTTATAGGAGAGCGCCTATATCCCGGAGAGTTGATAACCGGACTTAAAAGCGTTTCAAGACAAGCTACATAGCAGTGATGATCAAAATACTTTTTGAATGTACTCGCTTTTTTAAGCTTCAGAAAGTCTTTAAAAATCGAATTCATTTTTAGTACGAGCTAGAGGGGTATATACACAGGGGCGAGGGGCGGGGGGGTTTAGCTTATAACCGGAGGTATTTTTTTGTTTACAGATCATGGGCTATAGCTGGGGAGCTTGTAAGCGGACGTTTACGGTTGATGTTATGAGGCGTCAATCTGCCCCTTTTGCCCGGGGGGGGGTATTCCGTTATATAAGCCACATAGGTATGTGCCGTCCCAAACCCCATGGTTTATGGTTTTTGCGCCGTTTTGGTCTGAAAACTTTGCCCATTTTCGTCTGGAATTGGGTATGGTTTCGAGGGAATTACGGGAGTGTATGGAGGTATTTATCGTTTCAATTTCAAATGAGTGAGAAAGAAAGAGAAATATGCGGATTCGAAATGGAATTTAAAAAATCTTTTTTGTTGCTGTTTTAATCAAGGTAATGATGACATAATTTCTTAGATGCCAGGTCTGACGAAAACGAGTATGGATTTTACAGGCTGGGTCTGAAAACTGGTGTGAAAAATGACATTATTCGGTCTGAAATACGGCCAGGATTGGAGAACCGGGCGGCACACCCCCACCGAGAATTCCCAGGAGTACCCCCCCGGGCTCTTTTGATCATCAAGGAAGACTATAAAATAATGATTTCACCAAACTTTACACGGAATCCGCGGCGACTTCTATTTCCGGTATATGTTTTTCAGTGTTGCCATGATACTTCCCACCTATTTGAAGCCTCAAAACGGTGCCAAAGTAATATCCTAAGAACTTGCCGGCTTTGTTGTTTACGATATGCTTTTCCAACATCAAAGTTTTCCGCTGCTAAGTGGATAACAATAGCGTTCCTTTCGGGCAGATCAAATCAGCAAGAGAAACGTCCAGTAGTCGGCATTTAATTGTTTGGAACTAACTCACGGCGTAGCGCTTTTGCTAAATAAAAAACGAATAGATGTTGATATATCTTTCGTGTCTCTGGGCGAAATGTCGCACACCGCAGTTTGAGGAAAAAATAACATGTTGTTTTGTCTACTTCCTGGATAGTACCAAGACCATAATTGTTAACTTCAGACTAGAGCTTTCACGAAGAATGTTAGGGTACTTAGAACCTACTTTGAATGTCAAGGGGTAAAATGTACCCACTTCAACTATACCTGATGGCCATGGAAACGTTCGAATTTGTAGTTCAAAGAAGCCGAAGTTGGCCCCAAAGTATGGTCTACACCACACTTGAGAACACACTTGACCAATAAGAAATGGAAGCCATGGGCACGATGGGCACGTGCAGCGGTTCCAAGATTCTAATGAACGGCGAGATTGACAGCTTTTACTTCAAGTAATAGACTTTGTCAACAAGTGTGAAGCCATGTTTTCAACAAAGTGACTTAAGATTTCCAAGTGCACTCTAGTCAAATGCTTACTTGAAAGTAACTTCGCTTCGTGTGAAGCCTACAAATGTTAAAGTTTATAATGGATATACCCGCCCCTTTTCCTTGCTCGACTCAATAGTCGGTAAGTCTGTTTTTATTAGTATTTTTATTTATTTATTTTTTTGTGTGTGTGTTGAGCCTAATGCTATGTTCATACTAGTGTAACGGATAGCTCTTGCGCCGGCAGGAAAACTATACCAGACTATGGCATCTGTTCACAAATGAGAACAGTGATTTCGGCACGATATCTGTAACGAAGCGAAGCTGCGTCACGCCGATCTTAAATATCGAATAGGTTCTTTTCCACACTTTGGTGTGCAGTCCAGGGACCTGTCAAGCCTTAAACATGTGGTCTTGTCACACAAAAATTACCACTTTTAAAGCTCTTTCTTTTATTAAAGCAAAAACAATTTTCCTGGGTAAACATTTCAACAATTACATTTCCTGCTAAACAATAAACAATCTGTTCGGAAGACGATTTGAGAGTGATTGTGGAACAGATCGTTCAATGAATAGAGAACCCTAAAAACATTTATTTTGCTTTTTTTCGTTTCGAAAAACGTTTTCTATGATTTTGTTGATTGCTAGGAAATCCGAACAGATGAAAAATTTTTAGGGAATAAAACGAGCCCATCTACCGTTTAAATCTATTCTGGTTTAGCAGCGTTTAACATGTTCAGTGGTCGAATGATTTATCGTTAATGAATGGAACAAAATTTAACCGGCTGGAACACTGGTCTATTCTGGTTTAGCAGAAAATGTTCAAACACCTCACACTGGATTCATTGTTGTATTTTAGCCGATGCTGTATTCCAATGAACAACGCTGTACGTACATGCACAGTGCAGTTACTCCCAAAACAGTCTGGCTAGTTTCCAGAGTCCTCGCTTGTCTCCTACACAGAATGGATGGAAGCAAGTGACGTCCGTGATGACGCCATCACAAACATAAGGAAAAACCTGATCAATATTTTAACGACGATACATTCGGAGGTGATACAAAAAAGAGGTTGTGTCAGTTTATTGTGAAAACAGAAAAAACGATTTATAAAGCCTGCCTGATTTTGCTCTCACCCAGTCAAACCTACGACGTTTAAATAGGAAGCCGGCGTCAAATCTATGATCTCAAAGCGTTTCACATTCTTGGCTCTATCTCTTATTATGATAACGAAACATTTCAAGTCTTGTAACTGTGTAAGTCAGCTGGTGAGTATCTACATCCGGGCTGAAAGGCTTATCGAATGAGGTCGTAAATTAGAGAATTACATTCTCCGCCATTTAATCTCCTTACTGAATGACAGTAGACATTATTCATGCCTGTTGTATTTCACTAGAAGCCGCAAACGATGTACAAACGCTCTGCCGTATGTTTCTCTCACAGCAAGGACAGAAACCTCTTTGCCAGCTATTTTGTCAGTTTGAAGAACGAGCTCCAATACTTGTTTCCTGTACCTCTAAGGGTCGCTAAGCCACTTGTGTTACTGCGTACAATTTATGCGTCCAACGTTATCTGAGTGTCCTTGTTTTTCTACTGGATGTTGTATTAAAGAGATTTAATTAGGCAAGAAAAAGAAATTTCTGGTAAAAATAAAAAAAAATCCAGTGATCAGATAGGGATAGGTTGTCGGGGCACGATTATTGGCACTCTTGTCTGTCATTACTGTACTCTCTTCGTAAAATACCCCTCTGTCTGCATGACTCCACTTCCATGGTCTTTGCCAATATTCTCTTGTGGCTGTATTTAAGATAAGATAAGCAGATAGAAACCCTTATTGCTGTAAGCATGAGCTTGCTGCAGAGGAAAGAACGATCGCTTCTACCTCACGTTTGGTAAAGTATAAATCAAGGTTGCACTGTAGAGATTATATTTCTTCCAAATCTCGCTTAAAGGAATGTTTGGAGTACACTTCGGTTGAGGTAAGTCATTCTCTACAATTACTTAATGACTCTGGAAAGGATCTTCGTGATTTGTTCCGAAAGAGTAGATATTGTGAGCGGCTAATCTATCATCCCTTCTCTAAAATACCGGCGGCATCTTTTCGCTTGCTACCTTCAGTGCTCGAAAAGTGAAAGCATAGTTTAATCGAAGTTGAACTCTCTCAACGCGTCTCTCAATTCTAGCTAATTCTGGAGTTACAGAGCATAGGTCAATAAAAATCAAGTGCTGGTAGTCTGAGTTTATAGCCGGTGTTTATATAGAGTAAAGGTGTGATCAACATCATCATTTATTGCTATTATTCTTTCTATCTGAAAGACGTTTTCCGTAAAGATGTTCGTTAGAAGATTGCAATCAAAGCCTTAGTTCAACATTTGCGCGCGCGTGTCGTCTTGATTGGATACCCCTTGGATACTCCGCAAGACTCCAATTCCTAAGGTGATTATCTCGTTGTAAACATAACCATTTTATTATTGTAACATCGCTACAAATGAAGACCATCCTGTACATGCTTTGAATTCAATAATCTGACGTCGGGGTTAATGCTAACGACGGAAAATACACATTACAAAGACTCGAGTCAATATGTTTCGCCCGTCGTTTTTTCTTTCTAATGACTGGGCGTTCTGTACACTAAGCTTGCTGACAGTTTATACAATTCCAATCCTGTTCCACTGTCACCTTGTTCTCCTTTCCTCTGGCTGTGATCAATCATTCATCTTAATTAAAGTTGCCTTGTTTATAACTAATTACTCGTGGCTTGAAAGAATCAGTGAGGTTAAGTACCGAAAGGTCAATTTAAAAGGCTCCTTTAATATTTTCCAATATTTTGAACGAGAGCAAAAATAGAACTGCTACAAATTGAAAAGTTAGTGCATGAAACCTGCTTAGTCTTTGGCCACAGTACGACAGGCAAGAGGCCGTTGGGAGAAAAACCCGGGGAGTTTGTCAACAAATGTTTATACGGCAGGCTCGGGGGGTACTCAACAAATGTTTACATGTATACGGGCAGGCTCTGCCACGAGGTCCAACTCCTCACACTTTAAACTATGTACCATTTTTCACGAAAAAGGCACCCCTTTCGAATACCTTGCGCTGACAAATGGTATCCCTTTCACATACCTTGTTTAGAACTTTGCATCCATTTTAACTGCTGTAAATGCACTGTCTTTTAAATGGGAATCTATCACAAAAATAGAACGTTCTCTCGACTTTATTAAGTCATAAATTTCATCTGTTAGCCCTTTTGGGCCCTTTTACAGACCAAAATGACAGATTTCCCTACCCTATTATACTGACTTCAACTAGTGAAATCCCTTCCCTTTCACAGTAAAGCTTGAAAAAGATACTACTTTCGGGCCGAGCCTCCACGTATAGCCCATCATAGGGAGTACTCCCCCCTGGGGATAAAACTGGTCGAGCTGACATCAAGTGACATGTTTAAGTGTGACAGTTTTATTTGGGGAAAACAACTCCAAAAAACACAACTTTTTAACTGACCATTATAATTCAAATATCAAATTATCATCGCTGGAGATCTTAGCAAGTCTATTTTCTTACATTTAGTCACCCAAACTTACGCTCTAAACTCTCTTAGTGTTGGAATGTTGATAGTGCCAAGAGTGGTTAAGTTCGTGAGTTATTGTTAACAATTCCCTCAAACAATCCCCGAGATTTTCTGCGCTCAAATAGAGACTCGAGATTTTTTGTTAATAGCTCAGGAAAACTAGGTAAAATCATGCGAAACCCCCCTTTCTTTAAAGTCTCTTAACCCTTTAAGCCCTAAGATTGATCAGCATCAAATTTCTCCTTGTAATATCAATGCTTTATAAAACAGAGTGGTTATGAGAATTACGGACATGATCACACAAAATGAATTTGCTGGATGTTTCATCAGCTTCTCCCCACTACTTTGGTTGGAAATGAATAGGAGCAACAAATGAGAATTCAAATTTCGATCTTAGGGTGTGAAGGGTTAAGGTCGTAAGACAGGTTCTGCGTTGAAAAGCAATGTTGCTAGTTTTACCAACCATGAGTTAAACTGATTGTTTTACAACAAATTAGCTTGCTGCAGGAGTTTCGAGAAGTTGTTGAAGAAAACAGAGAGTAGTTCTACTTTTTGCAACAAGTTTGAGTGAAACCTGCAGCAGACTGCTTTGATTTATGCGTGGTTAAATGACCCTCATACTCCGCATCATGGCTTTGAAAAAAAAAAATAGTAGTTTCTCTAGCAACCTTTGTGGCAATACAGGTGTGGTGTGGAATCCCTAATGAAAGGGTTCCCAAGTCTCCACTAAAATAGTGAGTAAGTTGGGGAGGGAGGGTGTGTGTAAATGAGAGTGTTGTAGGCATATAAAAAACAAAGAAAATTGGTTAATAGTTGAATTATTAGAAAAAGCACCAAAAATTGAGCGACCAACAACTGCAATGCAGCCACGTCCAACACAAATATACAGTGCAAAGTAAAATGTTAAAAGTTAAAAACACCGATATTGAGCGACCAACAAACTGCAATGCAGCCACGTCCACCACAATACACAGTGCAAAATAAATTAAAAGGAACTTTTTGCAACAAGTTTGAGTGCAACCTGCAGGAGACTGCTTTGATTTATGCGTGGTTAAACAGTGACCCTCATACTCCGCATCATGGCTTTTCAACTCGTTTTGCAGTTATGTTCCAAAACAAGTTGAAATGCTTTTGTTGCTCATTTTACCGCTTAATTACTTTAGATTTTAGATAGATTTGTCTATATTTTTCCCAAGGAGAAGTAGTCGTCAGGAGGAAAAATTTGACAGACATGTATAGAAAAATTAAATATTGGTCATTCCTCCCCTCCCCAACCCACACACAAAAAAAACGATTCTAGTGCAGATGAGGTCGTCAAATTTTGTCAGAAGAATTCTTTGTCTTGGTCTTGTGGCTTAAGTTTTTGTGATTCATATTCATTTTATTCTATTTTACTTTTCATCTACAACAACACATCCTAACTGATTCTCATACACAAAACCGCCCTATAATTCGCGCCCACCAAGATGGGCGCAAGATGGCTTCAAAAACCATGATAAGGTCTGTTTAAAACTTACTTGTTATTTCCCCGTCTTCCAGAACACACCTACCTAAGAATAAAACGTACAAATTGTGTTGATCTCAAGAAAACAATTCCCATCCGTCAAAATTCCATCCGTGTGACGTCCTAAAATAGTAACATTAACTAAAAATACACTCTTTTCTTTTTATAAGAATGTTGTTTTACTGGCCCGGGTTGCCGATTTTAGCCTCAAAATATTCTTGTATTATTCCAAAATTAACATGCATGCTATTTTCGTGAACAAAATGTATTGGGGTATCAATTACAGCTAGTGCAGGGTTTTTCGTTTTATTGGGTAATTTTGCCTTGTAGAGAAAGGGATGGTTTTATATGGTTAAGTTGGAAACATGCAATTGTATTGTATTTAGAGACTTTCAAAACACAAAATCATATTCGCTTCAGAATCTCAGCCTCGGGTCCTTTCTTAAAATATTCTAAAACTTCGCAAATTTCAGCGTCGATACTCTTAAAAAAATATTCGGATTTATTCCTATACAAAAGTGTACAACCTTCTCCGTTTGTGGATTTGGCATACTTGTAAACTGACCAAAATGTGATGACATATAGAACCTATCAACTGTTGATAATGCCATGTTATGAAAGCTGGTATCGATCCCCCATTGTAGCTTATATTTGGACGTTCGCATGCGGAAAGTGGCAGGCCTTAAAATAGCGTCAGTTCTCTTGAAATCAGCAAAAATTCTCCTCTACACCCTCTCTCGTCCGTATCCGGGCATCTCAGATCTGGGGTTGTTATTGTTAGGCTGAGGGTTTTTTTTAGTGCCCTTGCCTTCGAATTGAAAACGCGAAGCATACATATTAAAAATTACATTTGCAAGCATTTGCGTCATCTTGTTTTTGACACTTTGGACGTTATCTAGCTGATGTGTGCGAACATTTTAGGGGTTCCCTCGATGTGCTATCATAAGGCTTCCTTCTTCTTTTTTGACTTTTGTTCGAGCTCAAGATTCCCCCTCGTAGAAACACTAACCCACGGTCAGTTAAAATGCGATATAAGACCCCAGGGAAGAGAAGTCTTATAGGCTGCAAAAATTTCTAGATTACATTCACAGGTGATTAAAGAGCTACTTCGAGTGGGCAGCCATGTTTGGCTTGGTTCGACTACTATAGTGAAAAGGAAGAATTATTGAGGGCAAATAGAATTACTAACACACTTATCACGCACAAACTCCATGCTGACAGTTAACTTGTCCATCTGCTTGTTTTACACTTTAAATGCGAATATTTTAATTCCTTTGATGCTTCATGTCATCCACTGAAATGAAGGATGTATGAATTTCATAATATTAGCATTAATTTACGTCATCCATTATTAAAACTAAAGTGTTTTGCACTCACAAGAAATTTCCATCAATATGAGTAAATCGTTTCTAATGCAGTGTAAATATATCTGAGCATAATGCCATAATAAGCTATAACAATATAACGTAGTCTATTTTGGCTTGGTTCTTTCGTGCTTGTCATTGGTCGGTACGTTTTCGTGATATTTCATTTTCCATATTAGCCTACGTGATTATCACGGAGGAAGTACATTTCAGTGGCTGACGTTTTATCACCTTGGCCTTACCAGAAATGTATTTCAGGCCAAAATGACCGCCTGATTATCAAGAATGATTAGTACTTTTCTTACTTCTGCCACTTTCGTAAACGCATGAAAGAAACTGGAGATAACTACTTTTTAAAAACCTTAACACACTCTTCCTGTCTAGTGAAAAATTCGAGGGGGCGGCGGAGCGGAAGACCCCCGCCCCCCAACTTTTTCTGGAATAAATAAACAAATGTGAAAGACTTAATACTCAGCCTCCTCTCTTCAAGTCACTAGTGAGCCCCCCCCCCCCCCGACATTTGCAAAAATATTCCGCCGTCCCTGCTTCAAACTTGATGTCAATTTCACTTTCAAAGACTTCACACGCGTACACTTAATTTCAATTAAGTTGTTAGTAAGTTATGCTTTCAAACGAAACTCTTTCTGGACCCGATCAAAGCTGTGGATCAGCTGGTTGTTATTTCATTTATTTAATTTTTAATCTTAATGACGTGTTTTACCAAAATACTTTTAATCATAGTAATAAATTCAAATAGCAACATGAATACATGAATACACACGCAAATCCTCCTTTATGAAAGGACTAATATTGTTTTTCTAACGAATCTGTGTACATTCACTCCCCCGCTTGGTAAAAAATGGAACGTTTAAACAGAGACCAAGATGGCGCACAGTGCAAACAAGCTGACGAATTGGTAGTGGGGCCATCTAGGTATTGTTACAAATCACTTCTTCCCATAAATTGTAAACAATAATACTCAACGTGCTGTGAAAAAAAAAACAAGCATAAACACACAAAACGAGTATTTTTTAAATTCATTATTTAAGCTGCAAACGGCAACAATAAAAGCTATTGCTCTGGAGCTATTATTTAAATAAAAATGGCGATTTAGGCGGGACTTCCAAGGTTATGTTACAACTTGGGGAAGGTCCACCGAATGGGAGCAATGCTGTTCATTTTCGTTTTAACAATAATATCAAAATAAGCGTAATTACATATCAGCGTTTATTATTTATTCATTATTTATCATGCGTAAACGTCTTATCATTATTTAAAACATTGTAAATCAACGTAAAGAACACCCAAGGAATACTGGGAGTAGAGTTCCCTGCTAACAGAGGTCTCTTTTCTCTAGTACTCGGCGAGCGGAATACCAGAGAAAAGAGGCCTCTGTCGACAGGGAAGGAGCAGGATAGTCAGTACTTTGCAGCACGTCCAGAAATTCACAGATTTATGACTGCCTGCTCCACAGGTGGGTATTGGGGAACTCGCTAGCACGCGAGACCAGCGAGCTCTCCCTAATAATTAACTCAAATTTCCCCCAGTGATCGCGAGCGACTGGGGACGAGGCAGGATGTCTGATTCCCACATCTAATTAAGAAGCTAGAAATTCAGCGCGGCATGATAATTATTATTAACAACTGTACTGCGCCAGAGTTTTGATTGTCTTTTTTTATAAGAGCCCTACAACGTGCGCGGGCTATTTGGTCGTTTTAACAAATTTAAGTCAGGAAAATGTATCAGTATTTCTTGCTTGTTTTTGATAAAACAATTAGTTAAAGCAACGGAAATCAAATCGTCGGAATTTCACGATTCTTAGGCATTCTACGGACGAACTGAACAGTCACTATATTAAGATTTTTGTGAAAGACTGGCAGTATTTGTGGATCTGTTTTTCTAGTGGATAATTTAGAATTGTACGATAGTCAGAGAAAACAACGTAACTCGGGAAGTCGTCATAGCTCCTATCAATTCATTAACTTTTTAATAAACGCAAGTCTTTGAATGACTAATCTGTACGCTGCATTGTTTTGCAGTTCATCTCAGACTGATACAGAGATGCAAGAACACATGGGCCCACCAGTGTTCAAACTGGTCGCTAGGAATTCAAGAAAGAACTCTCCGTTCTTCAAAAATGATTCAAACGCGCCTCAGTCGCCGTTGAGGGGTACACCGAAGCAAGAACCGAGGGACAGGGAAGGTGAACGTACGTATCAGCGGCTGAGCAAAAATTAAAAATAAACCCACCACACTGGCAAGAGAAGTTTCAACTGTTTGCTTATTCTCCCGGGCCCAGCTGTTCAAAAGGTGGATAGTGCTATGCAATTGGTTTCCCTAATACTTATCCACTCGAGAGTGATTTATCCGGTGGATAGCGCTATGACGCTTTTGAACAACTGGGGCCAGCCTGTTCCAAAATCTCAGTAGGAAAAAGAGCGCGCGAGATAAAACAGGCCCCATCTCTTTCTCTTTTTCGCATTCGGTTTTCTTTTCGCTCGTTCCCACTTACTGAGAGCCACGAAAAGAAAAGGGAATATATTCCCCGATTTTAACAAAAATAAAGATAATGATAATCTCTGAAATTGATACGGACTGAATTAATTATGAATGGCGTTTCAACAAAGCCTTTGAAACTTTTGATTGGCCAAATGCTGGTATACAAGGACTTCTATAGTATTATTGGGGCAGCTAGTACTCGAAGTGCCTTCTCCATAGCTTTCAGTGTTAGATGACTTGTTCAAATAGGAGTATAAATAAGAGCGCTTCTTGTTGAATAATTGAATTTATCGATTGGTTATATAGTTAGTTAAGTGGTTTATTTTTCTGCCTCCTTCAGCGTTTCCATTTACTTTACTTTGTTTTTACTTGCATCAAACATGAACAACAGGTCGAACGGCAGCCTTGAATCTGGAATGGCTGAAAAGCTCCGTTAAACTGCTTGAGAGCGCACTGAGGGAACGCAACAAACAGATGGATATACAAAAAAAGGAAATCGAATTCTTGCGTAACGAACTCAGGCGAAAAGACGATGTCATCAGAGAATACGAGAACTTGATCAATGAAAGAGAGGATATGGAGAGACAAGAGGTAGAGATATTACACAAAGAAATCAGAACATTACGAATGGACGTCATGTCAAAAGAAGTGACGATACGGGAACACGAGCATGAGATTGAGCGACTGGACAGCAAAGTTGAAAAGCTGATGTCCGTCATGCCGCCATCTCTGCCTCAAGGTCGTGCGCGTGCGCAAGGAGTGTCCGCTGAGCCAAAGCAGCTCAATCACGCCAACATCCAAAAGTATCTTCGACATTATCCAAAAAGTGAAAGGTGAGTTCGGCGAGACTGCCGAGAAACATAACAAAGTTTTTTAACTTTTAAGTGAACCGACCACCATTCGATCCCTTCATCTTAACTCTAACTTGGAGATAAACGTTTGCCCCCCAGGGAGGCAGGTGTTAATTTTCCAGGAGCCCATAACCCTGGGACCAGGCTCCTTATTGGGGAAAAACAGCTAATAATGGGGCGAGCGGGAAGAAAGAGGCGAACCGAGCGGGGGATCGAGAGAGAAAGGGACGTTCCGCTGCCTTTTCCCCTCCGGCAGTCGGCTCGCTTCGATCTGACGATCGCCAATTTGTCTCAGAATAAGTAATATTAAATCAAGAAAGAAAGAAAGAAAGAAGATAGCTGGCGAGAAAGTCGAAAGCTTTATTCTCTTTTCGTCCTCCTTTCTACTATTTTTGCAGCATTTTCCAGGTTTATGCATTTTGACCCTTCCGCTATGTTCCAGCACTTCAACCTCGTTCCCGCCCCATTTTCTAAGGGTAAAAGCCCTAGGAACGAAGTTGTACTGTACTTACTATTTTATTACTGCTTAGTAGAGTCGGATTTTGAGAACCATCGCAGAAACCGTAGCCTGCGTGGCAGACACTTCCGTTTCCTTTACAATAAAATTTAACAGATTGCAAGTTAAAGTTATAACAATTATCAAGAAAGACTACTGCATGGACTGACTAAGAAATCAATCGTGAGGAGGCGTGTAATACGGTATCCGATCAGGCTTATCTCCGAGGATTATTTTAGGGAATCACGAACCAAAAAGATAAACCTCTTCATGCGAGTAATGTGACACTGGAACGGTGTAAAAACGTAAATAGAAACGATAAAAACATGTTAAAAGTACTAAACCAACAAAAACAAATGTTCACTACGACACAGGTAGCTTGCTAAAAGCATCACGTTCAAATTTCAAAGCATGATGGTGCGCTTTATTTGAGTGAATATTTGTCCGAAAACAACACCCTTTTTTTAGTTTTGAAAACGCTAAAAAAGAACCCTTACTCTTGCTCGGGCCTCTCTAAATCGAAGTATGTTTGTAAAAAAGAAATGGAACAATTTGCTCAACAACAGTATTATTATTTCGACCTGAAAAAAAAGGGAGGAATAGTAAGAGCTGTTTTAAATAATTTGTAATGTATTGATCGATATTGCTACTAACATATTAATGAATTCAATCAAGCCACCGTCATTTGATATTGTAATTTTCATAGAATTTATTGTAACAAAGGGGGGATCTCCTTAGAAAAGCTGTAACGAGCTTGCAGAGATCTTCCTACTACTAGATACGTTTTCCAGCAATCATAAACTAATGTAAGAAAGATATAAGTGGGGAAATAAATAAATAAAACATAGACCCTTGATAGCCTGCGTGCAGAAGTCTCCTGTTTCCCTTTGAGAATGCACGCAGGCTCAGTACGTATTTAATCGGTCTGGGATAAGAAAACAAACAGAAAAGTAACGCAAAATATTTCGTATTTTCTGAAGCTTGCTGTACGTTTTCTTCCCGTGACAGCGGCGGGTTTTGCCCCTATTTGTACGCCTTTGAAAAGACTCCTGATACTGAACTGTCCGAACTGATATTTTGAGTGCCGTGGATATTTTGCACCTGCAACGAGCATCACACTATTCAATCGCTGCGTCTGAATTGTTTATAACATGAGATGAGTTAAGGTGATTCCCTGGTTTTGCACTGCGCATCTCTTACTGAGCATAACAAGATGGCCTCCGTAAAAAAGAGCATGTGAAGTAATGTCAATAAAATGAAGTTGACCGAGGAGAAACGCTATTGCAATTTTTGCTTGCGGTTGTTTCTTGCTGAGGTGAGACTCAATGTGGTGGGAACGTGCATAACGTAAGCAGTAAGCGTGTTGCTCAGTTCGACTTCCTCACGGAGAACCTCGATAGTGGATGTTAGTGCTTATTCACTTTGATTTTCATTTAAACGCTTTCTTTATCACATTGTGTCCTAAATGTGATATCTCGATGTAAATTCTGTAAAAACGGATTTTTTAATACTTTCTTCCCCCTTTCGCATACATTCTATTTTGAAACTCGCCCCAGTCCTCTCTCCAAAATCAAGGAAAAAGCATTTGGCGCGCACTTTCTGCAGCTCTACCGCAAAAACGAGTACGGTGACCCCCATTTTCTATTTCATGATTTTAATAAGGACAGTGCTTCCTTTCGGTGAGAAAAAAATTGGCCCAAATCTATGTTCAGTTTTTTGGCAATTTTACTAAATTGTACGGATTGAGCTATCACGTGTCGAATAGCGCGTGTCCAATTTAATTTTACTTTGGAGCGTAAAGTAAAAACAAGGGCATTAAAAGGCATTTTTCTGGTACGTAAGTGGATAAACAATACATTGAAGTCAAATTCTGTGCCATACCACATGCATCATTGAAAATAACTTTCGTTTTTGTCTAGTTTTGGGCTGCGCGCGGTTGTTGTTAAAGGGTCCAAAATAGCCGTATTTGTCAGCATTGTGACGTCAAAACGAGCACAGTGACCCCCACTTTGTATTACTTACTTTTTTATCCTCTTCTTGACTTGTTACATCAGTGTGCCAAGGTTCATCTACAATCTATGTTAGGTTCTTTTACTAGGGAATCACCTTAATAGTATAATTCTCTGATTCGCACAGACGTCTGAGACGTGACAGCATGCTACATGTCTTCATTCGGATCAAAATTCCTTTTAATAACCTCATCTTTTTGCATGGTAATATATTCTTTAGATTATAAAATCTTTTATATTTCACTCGTAGGGATGAGCATTCACTGATCCTAACAGTACTCATCATCATCGTAATGCTTTTTTCCCGGGGGGGCGGGGGGGGGGGGGTTCTGCCATATATGGGAAATATAGGTACTGTATGTGTCGCTGTGAAGCAGGCCTGGCTGTGAAGGGTATGGTTTTCAAACAGTTTACTCTGGGACAGGGTATATAAATCAGAGAGTTTGGGTCTAGAAGAGGGCATCATTTTCCATTTAAACTGATCAATTGGCTGAAGATTTTAGTCTAGAATAGGGAAACCGGGAATTGCCACTCAAGAATATAAAAATTTCAAATCAGTTTTGTTTCGGCTGGACTGTGCTAGTGACCTCAGTTGTTTCTGGAACACAGCTTCTCTAGGATAGGGGGATTTTCGGAGTTTAGTCTAGTATAGGGTTGCAAACGTCACTTGAACTAACTCTGGTATAGGCTAAAGGTTCCAGGGACCCAGCGACACGGTAATTCGTTGAGTCCGTTGGGGGTTCAGAACAAGGATCTCTGCGCTGCTTCGCAGACGGTACTAATCAGAGTTTAGTTATCGTCTGCACGCAGGCTACCCGAACCCAAAGTTACCACTTTAGAGCGCGCCAGAGCCGTCTCTTACGACTCAGGTGGAGGTGCTTCTGATCTGCTTATCGTACGAAAAGATCTGGCGGTACTGATAGAAAACTTTTGTTGGGGGAGGGGAGTGTTGTGTGCCCGTTAGGGGGTGGGGAGAGGAGACGGATGACATTTTAGACTACGGACATAGCTCTCAGTTTCAGATACTGACTCATTTTGGTCAGGGTTTCGAGTGCTGTTAGAGAAATCGGAACTTGACCCCGGGGAACTTGACTATTATCTCAATAACCATGACTATGAATGCTATGACACCGTCTTGCACTGACTGCACCTGATTGGGCCGGTGGGAACGACAGTAGTCAGGTCAGTGCTCCTAGCTGACATCCTCGAGTTACCGACAGCTTTTAGGAACGTGGCACGTTCAAACAGAACGTGCCTCTCCTCTCATTAAGGACGAGGACGGCACTGAAAACGTCACTGAAACGTCACTTTATCGCGGTTTTTTAGCTTTGCCAAATTTGTCAAACGTGCGAATGTTCTCAGAGCTGAATCCAAGTTTAAATTGGTCTTCATCACGTCCTCCTTTAAACGTCGCCTCAGGACACGTCCAATAGTCGCGTGGTGACGGCAAAGAAGTGTCATGCACGTGCAAATTTAAATCGTCTGATGTTCGACGATGCCGTCGTTGTCGTCGTTGCGTAACTTCCCTATTGTTCCTTGTCAACAGCTATCCATTTACGTGACTTTCATTGATTATGAAAAGTCAAGTGTAGGTTAAACTTCCTTTTCCTGCCTAAAAGGATGTGCGACTTGTGCGCGCGCAGACTGTTTTAATACGTATACCTAAAAGCACACTTGATATGATATGACTGACGTCAAGGGTGTAAATCAGCCGGCTAGAGAACCTGTTATCTCAACTACGAAAATCTTGCAGCAAGCTTCGCTCTTCTCAGTGCAAAAACGACGGAAAAACAGGACATAACAGGATCTCGCCGCATTTGATCTAGTCTCCAGCTAAAAATTCGTAAAGCACTACAGCGAATGGTGCGGGGTAATTAATTGTTTCGCAAAGCACATTTCATATTTTACGTGAATTAATAATTGATCGAATGGTTGACTTTCAAGAGGGTAATGTTTTATTAAATCCTCCGTTTTGAAGAAATAAATTACGACCGGCAATTTTTCAATGGTTTTCACTGCAAATCAACAAGCTAGTAAAAGGTAAAATTATAACTGAAAATCAATTATTGTTGACAATAGTTAGTTGGTATTTTCAAACTACTGCATACAATTTCAACATATAATGAATGCTCTCTGATATGAAATGTCAACAGTCTTAATGCCTTAAAGTATTTTATTTTGTAAACACTCTTACCGAGCACGTTTCTAGTGACAGAAAAGAGACCATTTTAGTCGACATTTCCACTTATCAACGGATGATTATTGACTGATGACCTTCTTATATGATCTAATATTGACAAGGACGCTTGCTTTTGACGATAGAGATCCGGTCGCTTTTAGTCCGAAAGTCCGTGCGCCATAGGAAATGTAAACAGCGACAAGCAGGGGGAATAATAATAAACAGCAATTGCACTCACGAAGAAATAGATTAAGAAAACAAAGAGTCAATTGTGCAGGAATTGTGTGTTCTTTTTAGAACCTGTTGGTCCAATAGAACTTCATGCCCGCGTTTCCGGTTTTTTTCTTTTTTCTTTTGTTTTTGCCATCGCTTCTTTTGAGTTATTCCACTTTCAGACAATAAATTAATGCTTGGCCTTAATTTTTTGGTGAATAGTTATGACTTCGTTTTATCTCAAAACTGACACAGCTGAGAGGCCATATGTAATTGTCTTGGGAACTGAACGTGTCCCTTTGTACTGCAAATGTATCGCTTACGATGTCCATTCTCTTAGAATAAGGTCCGTTTTTGAAGGGATTAGAAGACCTTAGAAACAAGGTGTAAATGAGGAGACTTAAATCGGCAGAGGGCGTCATATAGGCCTCACATACCAGGTAAGAGGAGTCTGATCTATTCGAAGTCGACGCCCAATACAACGCATAATCTCCCTTGTAAACAAACTACAACTGAATTTAAAACAGTATGAGGCTAATTATTTCTCTTTGAACAGCTAAGAGGCATTTGCAGTTTTTCAAGAAGAACCATTTACCTATCTGACAATTTACTGCCAAGAGCAGTTGGTTTCCTAAACGAGGGCAGTACATCCGTCGGTGCTGTCAATCTATAATTAGCATACAAATTACTTACGACCACGTCTTTGAGAACATATTTAAGGAAGTTTTACACTGCACAACGGTATTGATGATGAATTCATAAACAGGGAAGGTGGCGATAACACTTCTCCGCGATTTTGCGCTCAACTCAACTGAGACGTCGAAAGTGTTTTTCGTCTCATCTTTGAGCAAAAGTAATCCCAGTGTTCCATTGGAGACTCGAGCACGCGTCGAGTGATGCATTGCGGCCGAGCGGCCAGCAAAAAGAAGGCAGGGTGTTTGTGTTTTCGGCGGGGTACTCCTGCAGTAGCCACAGCGAAAATGGGTAGTCTGCGAGAGCTGCAGCAAGCTCTGCAGGAAAAGAACACCGAAATGAAAATGAAAGATAGCCGCATCCTGGCCCTTGAGCAGGAACTGAAAAGAAGGAACGAAATCATCCGGCGTCTGGAGAGCGAGCTGGATAAGTATCGGTCCGTGTTGCAACCCGCCGTAGCAACTCGAAGCAGAAATCAGCGCCAAGGTATTTCAGCCGAGCCGCAGAGCTATAAAACCTTCAACGACGCTTCCAAGCCGCTTCAGAAACACAGTAAAAGCCAAAGGCAAGGAATCTTAAGTAATTTAACCATGATGTTAGTGTAGAATCAGTTGAGGTTCAGCTAGCGCCAGGTTGCTATCGATCATGTGGTGTAGACAAACCGGCTTTGAATGTCTAGTTTTGTGATCTCTGGAGACATCAAAGAGCTACCTGACGAAGAAAACATTTTATGGCGAACGTGCCAGCTTTATTTCGTGATCGCTGGTATTATTACTACTCTATGATTTTTGGCATCTGCGGTTATAGCCAGCCATATCGAGTCGACGCCAACGCAAAAATTATAACTGACTGAAGTACAGATCAAAATGTCTTTATCATAACCCGGCCTGAATTATTCGCAATAGCATGTAAAAAATTGCGCCTCGCACAGGGCAATTGATTGTGCGATTGATATTATCGTTTTTTCGCTTTGATCTCCACATATTAGGCTAGCTTGTGGTTACGTCTCTGCTCAGTGTTTTGACTGGTGTTGGGTGTACACTCTGATCTGGTGGCATGTCCATTTCGCTGTGAAACGCCGAGCGTCACCGACATGCATGTCCATTTCGTTTGACCTTGCGTTAGTCACACGCAAAGCCAATTCGCGAGAGGTGAATTGGCTCCTTACTCGATGACGTTTTTTGTTGTGGAATTTCAAAGTATTTTCCAATGATCGGCTCGTTGTTGTTTTTATTGCACACTCACATCGACAACTAACCGCTGTTGCGATCGATTACGGGTCCGAGTTTACACACGTCCGCGCGCCCTTCGCTCGATCTAGTTTTACATTTTATATTCGAAATTTTCAACATTTTTTTATTAGCCCTTTGGAATACTAGCTTTCCCAGCGGACGTTTTAGGGTGATTCAACAGCTTGTGAACCTAAGTTTGCTTGTTCCAACACGTTAAAAACACTTACAACCCAAAGGGATAGTACTTATTTATCTCTTAATTACGCTTCATGAGTTTTTCGATCGAGCAGCCAGTGTTACCTGAAATTGACATCCTTTCCGATTAATACTTCGACCACTGAAGGCGAGCAAACGCGCAGATTAGATATGAACGTGATCTTTCCGCGTTCTGTCAAAAACTATCGTGTTCATTCAGTAATTATAATTTTAATTTTGTTTCTGTTAAGCTGCATATTTTTGGTCTTTCTGTCATGTAGATCAGGCGACGGCCTGGATTACATGTTTTACCAGACGCGCTAGACGTACGCTACGCACGGTCTAGTTTTGTACGATGCACGCGACTTCTAAAAGAAAGGGTGGCATCGCGTCGTAGAGAAACACGCCAAGAAGGGTCGTGAAGTGAACATTTCCGGGGACTGACACGCGTACACTTTTGCTTTTGAAATAGGCATCAACGATTGAATGCAAGTTTGATTGTCATTTCTACATATCTACTTGATATGTCGATCGATCGGAGCAAAGCTTTCCATTTAATTTTATCCCCTCGCTGTTTTTTTTTTAGTTGCAACGAAAGGCGCCATCATTAATCGGGAAACCGCAGCATAAACACGCTAGTTACCGATTGATTTTTTGTTGAGAAAAGTCGGCTCTCTAGAAGGGGTTTGGTTTTACAGAAGAATATATTTACATTTATCTTACAGCTTTTGTTTCGATTGAAAGTTACAATCAGTGTTTGAAGCCCCAGGGAATTTCTATAAACATACTGAAAAAGGAGTCGTTTTATGGAATAACCAGCCAGCTTGTTCCCTGGATTGTTTCACAGAAAACTACACAGAAGATGGACGGCAGAAAATACCAGATGGAAATTAGCCTTAGTTTTCCTGTCATTGTGTAAACATTTTCATGCGGTCGCTTCTTATTTCGATTGATCACTCAGTTTTTACTACACAGCTAACTCCGTGTATACCTTAATGAAGTTCCGCCTTTTAATGACATTTTGTTTTGTCTCTTAAACATTTGTGGCATGACTTAGACCAGTCTTTTGATGCTATCTTTGTTCTTGAAACAGACGCTTGTTACATATGACCATAAAGCCAAAGTATAAGTATGCTATTCCTTTATTTCGCCGATCATAAAAATCCTTTTTGTAGCGATTTTTGCCTGTTATATGAGCCATGCTATTTCATAAATGCAGCGTTTACGTTTATAAAGGCGTTGTGGTTTTGCAATTTCATTTAACTTTGTATAAAGGTCCCTGTTGTTTATTAGTGTTGGAATTAGATTTCTTCGACACATTTCATAGCAATATTGTCGAGGTCAGTCTTCTACATGTATTCTACCAGGCGAATATTCATTCTATAATCCATTGTAGTAAGGCTGTTTATTGTTTGGTCAGAAACTTATGGTTATATTGATGGTAGATTGGTTTTATGAACGCTGACAACGCAAATATTCTTGGTGAATAAATCACCTTTTCATCGAATGGCCAATTAACAAGTCAATTTCTCTGCTTGTTATTATTATTTTAATCACTCTGCAGTATAGCATATTTCGTTTTAAGTTAGTTATAAGATATAATTTCCCAAAGTTCTCCTTTCCCCTTTCATTAAGGAAATTACAGGACACGATATATTTTCCGATTTTGTGGTCTCCAAATTCTAGAAAAGGATAGCAAACTATTATAACTGAATTGAATTCATGTGTTTGAAACGCTGCTCTTGACCGTTCTTGTGGAACAACAAGAATAAAATGAAGTGAATCTTGGTATTTAGTCAGTTCTGTGATCCGTTAAAAAAGATTTCTTTAAAATTATGAGGCCTAAAAATTGGTCATAATCTTTAGTAAAAAGAAAATTTAAGCAATTTACGATTACATCAGGACAATTAGTTGGCTTTCTGTTGGTAACTGTGAAAGACAACCCAATATCTGAAAGCGGTACTGCAGTTATCTAATGCATAATTAACACAGCCTTGAAGGTCCAGCTAATTAACTGCATTCTACAATGAGTATTCACTGATGACAAGTATTGGATATAGTTTTCATGTGCGTTCAGTAGATTTGGCTCTCTTGGACTGTTGGTTTTAATTACTGTGCAAATAAGAACAAAGTGGAAAGCTGAACAAGTTCAAGTATCACCTCTCCACTTGGTGGTGATCAAGTCATCGATCACTGAGCATATTTTAATTTTATTGTTGTTCTGGTTTGTGCCCTTGACAAAAGCAAATATAAATAATCAGAAGCGTTTATCTCTTTTATTTATATTGTATGGGGTAGATCCAATGTCCTCTGCATCATGCTATGTGGAAGTGCCATTAAAGGGAAAGTAAACAATACTGTTTAACCACTGACAATCTTTTTCTGCTTCAAAGAACCTTTGGTCATAAAATTTTCAGCTTTCTTTGCAACTGAGGCTTTTCTTTCAGTGTCTGTTTTAACTGTTTTAACCCTAAGATCAAAATTTGAATTCTCATTTGTTGCCCCTATTCATTTTCTACAGAAGTAGTGGGGAGAAGGTTATAAAATATCAAGCAAATTCATCTTGTGTGATCATGTCCGTAATTCTCTTGACCACTCTGTTTTACAAAGCTTTGATATTACAAGGAGAAATTTGATGCTGATCACTCTCAGGGCTTAAAGGGTTAAACATGTGTTAGTTTATTAAAGAGACAACAAAGCAACATTTAGTTCAGCGTTTTGTCGATAATGCAATTTAATTGTGAGCTATAATGGTCTTCATAGCAACTTAAGTTACAAACCCTAAAGGCTTTTGCAGTGTACTCCATTTTGCAGACTCTAATGATTACTCTACATGTAGCTAACCATTTAAGCCCCACTATCCCTTTAAGTCCCAATAGTGACCAAGATCACTAACCATACACTGTGATCTGTTATCAAATTCTCTCAACTAATTCTTTATGGAAATGTATGGAGATCAGTTTGGAGAATTTGTATGTGGATACTGGGGCTTAAAGGTTGATCCACATACATTTTCTCCAGACTGATCTTCATACATTCGCTGACAGAATTAGTCGCATGTTTCCCGTGGTAAGATAGATAGATAGATAATTTTTATTTCAACATTTGGATTTAAAGAGTAGCATTGCTGCTAGTATCTCCGAGTGAAAAGAAACAAAACAAATTAATAAAATAATCAAGTACAATCAATGGTAATCATTTTAATTAATTCTGGTAACCTTTTCTCTGGATGATGTATTGATATTCTTACGAGAAAATTAATGTTAGTCACTCACGGGACTTAAAGGGTTAACATAACTGCTAAGTTGGTACACCCTGGGCTGTGCTGTAGCTGTCAGCCCAGTGGTCCCTGGTAGCTTACTTTTACACTGGATAAGTGACTTAGAAATCTTAGTTTTTATGGCAGCAATAGCCTGTGCACCCTGGACTTTTATTATTATCAAATAAACACCTTCACAAATCTGCCCATCATTATCAAGAGTGTGTTTTTCTTTCCGTCTCTCCCAATGGTTCCAAATACATTTGAAAGTTAATTTACATTTTTACCTTGTAGATCTAAAGAACTTATTAAAGATGCAATTTTGGACAATGATTTCCTCAAGAAACTGGAAGCATCCCAAATTCGTGAAGTTATGGAGTGTATGTATGAGAAGAAATGCAAAAAAGACGAATATGTCATCAAGGAAGGAGAACAAGGATCTCACCTTTATGTTCTGGAAGGTAACTTAATTAGTTATTAAACTATTTGAACAGTAGGCCATTTCCTAGTTATTCCTAGCCTCTTGCCTTTCTTAAGGGAAAGTGCAAAGTCTTTGATATGAAAAAATTTTGGATTCTGATGCAGATAAAGGTTTTTTCCGCCTTAAAAGGTTTTGTCCGCGGCCCCATTTGAAAGTGGGGCTTTCCAGAACCCAGAAAGGGCGTCCCTGTTACCTAAGTCTTTAACAAAATGATATTCCATGGCAGGAATTATGATCACAGAAATAAGGGACATTCCAAATATTTTTGTTGCCTGATTTTAACCCTTAAATCTCTAGCAGTGACTAGAGTCTCCTTCACACTAATCTTGTTCATGAAGGGTCTAGAGAACAGTGTGGACAGCTTGAATCACTAACCTTCAATTTCAAAGACCACATTGTGCTTTTGACTACAACATAGTGCTCCTTAATTGACTACTTGATTAAAAGTCAATGTTGTTTTTCCAAGACCAGGGTAATGTAATCCAAACATTGTTTTTTCTTGTCACAGATCAATGAAAAGCTTTATTGTCACATTAATCAATGATGTCTGTCTTGCTTTTGTTGTTGCATTAGCCTTTTTATTGTGGTCAAAGAAAAAAATCTCTAAAAACATCACTACAAAAGTTCTGCCAAAGAGCTTTCATTTAAATGGCAACACCACAGGATTTTATCCCAGATTTAAAATAAGTTGCAGTCAGTGATGAATAATCTTTACTTGATGTGTTCAAGGTGAAAGAGGTAAACAAATAACTGTGTATGAATCAATTTTTTCTTCTTTCCAGATGGCAAAGTCAAAGTCACAAAGGAAGGAGCTGTACTGGGCCAAATGGGCCCTGGCAGAGTTTTTGGAGAACTTGCCATTTTGTACAAATGTCCAAGAACAGCCAGCGTGAAAGGTAAATTTGTCTTTATAAATCTGTTAAATAATTAATGTAGATAGCCAGGCTCTCTTTAAGGCTTGAGTATCCAAAAGACTTGGCTATTACATGACTTTTAGTAGCTCAGTCTTTTGGATACATTGTAGTGGTATACAAACGTGTACTTATGTGTGTCAGCCATAAGAAGAGTCCAACAGTGAATGCACTGTTCTTAATTTGATGGGTTTCTTTTCTTATTCAAGTGAGGAATCTGTTGAGCTCGAAGGGGGAATGGGAGGTGGCTACAGCCCATCTTGCAGGCCCACCCCCTGTACAGGTCCACTTCCCTCCTTTTGAGGGTTAGCGTAGGAGACTTGACGAACCACTGATTTGACCCACAGGGATTCCTGTATAGTGTCTGAAACTATATCTGTAATAACCTCATTATACCTTATTGGTGAATGTGAAGTGAGCCCAGTGCCTTTAAGCTAAAACACTTTGGGTGCCAAGATTTACTACACACCCAAGTTCAAAAGAAAGGCTGGCAGGGCCACAGGGATTTACCCTAGGACATCTAGGGTGCCAAGATTTCCTGTTTACCCAAGAGCAAGAGAAAGGCTGGCAGGGGCCACAGGGCTTCACCCTACGACATCTAGAGTGCCAAGATTTCCTAGTCACTCAAGAGCAAAAGAAATGCCACCATTAGGGGCCACAGGGGCTTACCAGATCACAGCCCAGTCATTGCGTTATAATAAAAAATTTAAACATCATTAAGGCTTTAGCAGGCAGTATGTCAAACTCTTCTGTAATGGTTTCTTTTTCAGCTGAGACTGAAGTTAGGATGTGGGCAATTGACAGACAAACATTCCAAACAATAATGATGAAGACAGGAATGATGAGGCAAAAGGAACACATGGACTTTTTGAAGAGGTGAGGCATTATTTGCATAATTGCTTTCACAAACCATATGTCACTTTCATCAAACCACATTTACAAAGACACTTACGACCAGAGACAGTCCCAAATTAATGGAGGTCTGTGTTAACTAAAACGCTTTCTATCTGTCTCAGAACTGACCGGCCTAACCATTCCTGTTGTAATGAGATTTTCATTTTTAATCAAAACTATCGAGCTAGATCAGTCAAATCCTAAAAACTATTGACAAAGGAGATGGTTTTTTTTAGCAACAACTCTTGGAAAAAGCCTTTCTTATTGGTACTTAATTTCGCAAAGCAGCTAGGACATGACAATCAGAAAACTAAGCATCTCTAACTTAAAAATAAGGCTGTAGTCACTATTAGTCCCTGCTTTAAATGGAAACTCATTAAATAGACAACAGACACTTTTTTCTTGCGTAATCAACAGAATTTCAAGGAACTTATCTCAACAACACAGACATTCGTTATTCAACAGCGTGTTCTGTATATAGGCTTTACATTTTCATGTGAAAGTAACAAAACCTTGGAATGACAGCATATTGATGTTCACAAAACTAATTGCATGAGATATCACAAAGACGTCAATTACTGAGAATTTTGCAACAGATGACAACTATAACGTAGTAATTCTATTACATAAAATAACAATTCAAAGAACATGATAACGGAAAAGTGTGCATCCTGTGAAAAGGCCCTGCTTCCATTTAGTAATATGAACAAACATCCCAACAGACTGAACGACAGTAACAGTGCTAGTAGTGTAAATTATTATTATTATTATTATTATTATTATTAATATAATTATTAATGGTATTAAATATTATTAATATTACTATGTCTTCCCTGGGGTTCTTACAGTCAAGTAACTAATAATTTTTAACCTCTTTATGACCCAAGGACTGGACGGCAAAGAGGAAAAAAATGACGCACTAATCAACAATCAATTCCAACCAAGGGATAATAGATGAATTCCCTGAATAACTAATATAGATACTACAGGGACACAGGGAAGCAAGGAACGTACCTGAAAAATGATATGTAGTTCACTGTAACATTATCACCAGTCAGTGCATCTTGTTCATTAGGTCCACCATCCATACATTCCATAATCACTGTCCAATGCTTTTGAATAACTTTGCGGTATTCTCTGGTTTTTTAGTGTTCCACTTTTGAAGGACCTTCGTGAAGACATACTGTCAAAAGTTGCTGATGTCATCGAGGAGGTAAAGTTGCTGTACTTTGGCTGCCAAAAAAATGATCAAAATTAATATTGTTCTTTGTCTAAATTATTAGTCCATGCATTTCAGTTCAATGAATGTATTTCAAATAATTTTTGTCCATCCAACTGATCAGAGGATCTACTTTACTGCATAAGTCTTACATATATTATGTTAACTACAGGTATCTTATGATGAAGGAGAGTATATCATACGCCAGGGTGCCAGAGGAGATACTTTCTTCATCATCAAGAAAGGAAAGGTACTAACTCATTCAAGTCTTTAAACCCTAATATCAAAATTTCAATACTCATTTATTGTCCATATACCTTTTTAGAAGTACTGGGGAAAATTTGTTAAAGTATCAATAATAAATAATAGATTCATCTTCTGTGATGATGTCTTTAATTCTCATGACTACTCTTCTCTATAAAGCATTGTTGATATTACAAAGAGAAATTTTATGCCAATCACTCTTATGGCAGTGCTTGCCCGTGGCAACTACTTGCCTGTCTTAGGTAATGATTTAGTTGGAGGATGACTTGCCTGGGCCGTCGCATATCGGGCAAGTGAGCTTTAAGCGTTACTTTCCCAACAAGAAAAACTACTCGTCCCGGACTGCTGGACCGGACTTTTTTCATGCCCCGTTAGGGCTTAAAGATGTGCCATTGAAAATTAATTTAGAGATGGCTTGTATCCATCCGCAAGCTGGCTAATAAGGCTTCCAGTAGATGACAGCCCTCCAACAGTATCACTCCCTTGTTGAGCGCATAACTGCACGCACATCTTAATGTCCTGATAGTGACAGTTTTTACAAAGGAACAAAATGCAGCTGTAGTCATTAAACAATTCAAGAGAGAATGCATAACATTGAAATGGCTGCAGCTGGCTCAAAGCAATCAGTTTGGAGCTGCAACACCTGTCATGCATTTCACAATTTTTGTGCTGTAGACAGACGTACAGCTGTACATTGAAGTGTCTATTATCGGCCCGATTATCAGCTGTTGCTTGCGAAATGAGCCGGAGCTCCTCCCCCAAACAGACGGCTGGACGCATGAGTTTGCTATCGTCAATTACCAACAATCAGCTCGTTGCCTGCTCAAATGGAGTAGGCAGCATAAATTTACTTTCCTGAAGCAGATTTTAAACAGCGGATGCAAAGGTGTTGTTTGATTTTGCATGCGATCGCGTTTTAGAGCATTTTAAGCTAAAAAACCTGAAATATTGCCAAAGAAAAGTGTTAGCTTAAAAACGTTGGTAAATGGTATGCTTTTGAAATTCAACCAACCGTATTTATTAATAATTATTTTTCAGTCTGCATCGGTGGTGGTTGACAGCTAACGTGAAAGAGACGACTGTCAAGTCCATTTCTGTTGTAATTTCTCTCCAATTTCACTTCACTTCGCTAATGCTAGATCAATGTAAATACCAGTACGTGTTTCTGCTGATTTTTATGGCGAATACCAAAGTGACGAAGAAGCAAGTTTGGTATTTAATGACATCTCCCATTTCCGGCATTTTGTATCTGTGCATAAACCAAATTTAGGTCACAGACATGATAGGCCACTCACACGTCCAGCTGTCTCTTCTTGGGGAGGACCAAGAGAGCAGAGGAAATCGAGCCTATGTCTATTACGACCTGTTGGTTTTTGGCATATCTTAATGCTAATTGTTCGCTGTGAATTAGAACCCTGGGACATAATCATGTAGCTCTTCACATAGCTGGATACAGACTCTTGTACGTTTTCTTTTCCCACAGGTTAATGTTACTCAGCGAACTTCAGTTCATGCTGACCCCAAGCATATACGCACTCTGCAAGGAGGAGAATTTTTTGGAGAGAAAGCTCTCAAAGGGTATGTTTATGTTTATGTTAAATTTCCTGTATTTCACAGATTAGTCACAGGGATGTCCAGGTGATTTCAAGATTTTGCAACATTAAGTACCCAGCTGGGTCGAATCTTGCTTTAATATTTCTATATAAAGTTTTTCTGTCAGTCCTGCTTGAATTACAGCCTTATTCTTTTTGTAAATGTACCCTAGATTCATATTAATACAGATTCTGATCAAAAGTTTTTTTTTACAAATATGGCTGCGATGTTTCACCTACTTTAACTGAACCATTTAATGTTGAGATCTTAAACTTTTGAGACCTGCTTACAACTTAACAATCTTACATGTATAACGGTGCACCTTTCATTAGCAATGATGCTTGTAAAAGGCAGCTCAATGGAAAATTCTTGGTAACTTCAGAAATTTCATTGGTGTCTGCAGGCAATTCTGTTATGACCACTGAGTATGTCATATCCACGAAATACATGTAGCCACTTACAAGAAGCGTATAGAATGGTTTTATTAACATTTTACCTTTAACTACTATTTTGTTTGTTTTGTTTGGCAGAGAGGATTTGCGGACAGCCAATTGCATTGCAGGCAAAGGAGGTGTTGATTGTTTAGTGTTAGACAGAGAGTAAGTATACATAATAAAAGTTTTTACGAAGCTTAAGAGAGAAAACCATGACAGGACTAGCTCATTCAGTAGAGCACATGAGAGCAGAGCCATAGGCCACATGTTCCATTCTCAGGATTGGACTAAAACAAAGCATTTTAAAATACAGTGGAGCCTCAGTATAATGAACCTCTATATAGCGAAGTCCTCAGTAGAAAAAAACGATTCTGTTTATCCCAGTAATAGTAAAATATATCGAAAAGAACCTCTTTATAATGAAACCTTATTATAGCGAACAAATTCTGCCACTCTCTTGGCACCTCATTATGTTGAGGTTCCACTGTAGCATGAGAAATGAAGGCACTGTCTTTGCTTTACAAATGGCTAGACCTTCATGGGGCCTGGATGAACACAAAAAAAAGCCAGTCCCGTCTGAGAAGGAGATAAAAATGTTTTCCTCAATAGTAGTACTTTCATGCAAAATACAGTAACACTCAAATAAAGTACATTTTTGTCACCAATAACACTCTTTTGCACAGTACCAACAGAAAATCCCCTGGCATCTTGCTCAGATGCAGCCTTTGACCTTTTCTGTACTATTATAACAACTGACTGCTAAAAATAGATTGGATTGGATTGATTCTATGCTTGTGTTGAAATTAGGATGGGTTGATGATAGGTCTGTTAAGAGGCAAACTTGGAAGGACGCTCCCCAGATTTCAGATCTGCAAACACCTACATTTCTAAAATGTATCTGTCTGCAAGATAAGTCTGTCTTTTTGGGGGAGTTTCAATCATTTCAGTACAAAAATATTCTTAAAAACCATATGGATTTGGGGACACCATAAAGCCGTAATAAATATTGCAATATTGTTATGGTATTCAACAGGTGTGGATTTTATGCTATTATTTTAGGCTTAGTAAATAGTTTGATTTAAGAGCTAAAATAATGAACTCACAATGTATATTTCAACCCATAAGAAAATTAGGAGCATATCACTGTACACTTCAAGTAATTTTATCATTGTAATCATATGAAAAAGCAAAATGATCCAAAGTTTGACCAGTATTATTTTGTATCACTCTTTACAGAGCTTTTGAAGCATATATTGGTAGTTTAGAGGACATGAAAACAGACAAATATAGTGATGAGAAAAGAGGAGTAGAGCCTCAGATGCTCAGGTAACATTAACTTGTCTCACCCCAATAAAATATTACTTACATTAGTTGGGGCATATGCTACATCTGGGGTTGATTAGGTCATTTCCGAATCACCTAAATTACAGTAAGCCTTGTTTTTAAAGCCAGTCTTGGTGCTAATTCTTTTGTGACATATCAAATTACTTGAAATATTTCATGCATACCCAAATTAAATCACCTGAATGGTTGAATAACAGGCCCAGCTTTGATTAAGTGGCTGTGTGCAACTCGAAATGGGCCTTTGGAATAGGCTTTGATATTCAATACATGTAGTTGTTTTTAAGAGGCTGGTGTGAAATAAGTGACCTGTAAAATCCCTATGCATGAGAGGGAGTGCATTTACCAAACATGTTTCACTATTTTATTTTTAAGACATGACTAAATTTCTTCATGATGTTGTTTTAATTTTTAATTTAAATTTTTGGGATCACAACACCTAAAGGGTGATCATTACTTCAATTACTTAGAAAAATACTTTTTTGAAAGAAACATTATTACTGGGTATATGTAGTAAAAGTAATTTTAATTCAAATTTAATTTGGAATAAGCTTGTTTTTCATTCGTAAGCTCTAAACATAACATTTTCTTTGTTTCTGACTTGAGCATTTCAATTTTACATCTTAAAAACTGTTACCTGTAAAGATTTTTACGACATAATTCATACCTTGTAGAGACCCATAGCATCAAGACTATTATTAATTATTGTTAAATAATAAAGTGTTTAATAAGGATCAAAGTTAGGGAATCTGATATTTTTTGAAATTCATTGTCACAAAAATTCTTGTTTTATTGACAAGGGCCATAATGAATCTACAGATAATGCTGCGAAAAATCTTTTTTTATACATTCTTAATTATTTTTACAGTATTAGAGTAATATTACCTGAACCACTAACTGCACCTAAAACTGACCAACTTTAATTTTATATCAGTTTAAGTCTGAACATTTTTCTTTTCTGGCAGCCAACTTATACATTATTATTTTTGTTCCTTATAACCCCTTAACCACATAGAATGATCCAAGAAATGGAAAGGTTGGTACACAAATTAACTGTTCTTACACAAATATAAAAAAATGAATTAATTCCAATGTTCATTTTTAACACATCTGAAGCACTGAAATATCAGTTTGATAACAAAAATAACATCAATTTTCATTTTAATTAATAACCATTAATAACTACCTTGCAAAATAAACCTATCATAATTCAAAGGTCAATGCTGTAAAATATATTTAAAATTAATTTAAAATTTTGGAATAAACATCATGATATTATTGTAATCAATTTTACATGCCTGGTAGGCTCACAGAAAAAGGCAGGTGGTTAGCAGCCTGCAATTATTGAAAGTTTATGTGCATTTGGGAGAGTTGACACTGCTCTATCCGTTCACTGTACGACTACTGTAGTTCAGCTGTACCCTAAAAATCTATCATTCACAATGTACATGTTCAAGCCATCTTTGTACTAAGCAACCCCAGCTTATAAGGATACTCAATGCTGTCCTGTTTTGCAGCATTAACAGATAAATGTTTAGGTTTTTTCTACTTTTTCTTTTGTAAACTTGAAGACTGCCTTGACCGTTTCAATATAGCCCTACAAAATTCTGCACAAAGCACCTGGAAAGTTTTCTATGAACAAATTTTTCCATTTTGAAACTGCGTCCCCCAAAAAAAAATAACAAAATAAAATAAATAATAATAATATTAACAGATAAAACTACTTTTTATTTTGTAAACTTTTTGAATGTACACAACAAGTTTTCTATGACTTGTTTTGTATAAAAAAAATAAAATAATAAAATAAATAATAATAATATTGGAAACTTTATTTTGTGTTTTTGAATGTACAATTGTAAATCTCGTTATGGTTAGGCAATTTAAAAAAGCTGCTTGAGATTGGATTATTCAAAAAAAAAAAGACAGAGAGAAAAAAGAAAAGAAAAGAAGTCAAAATTGCATTAAGTCTGTTCTATCCCAATTCCTATTTCTACAACAAAATATGTAACATGTTGCTCTAATGGCTATATTTATCATTTTCTTGATTATATAAAGTTGCTGCTTTTTGTCAATGCCAATGTCATTCATCTTGTCTAAGAACGTGGAGCATTCATCGAAGAAAACGCCAAGGGAGCTCATGGAGAGATTAACAAATTTCACAAATCTGTAATTTCTACTCATTTCTTTGATCAGGATCAGATATTTTTCTTTTTTTACGCCCTGCATTGTCATTAAGGTTAGACTCGAAACCAACCATTAATTCTAGAACATATAGGCACTTGGACTGGATTGGGAAAAGAAGATCTGGACGATAATTTTCATTAGTTATTATTGAGGGATTCAGGAAACCATTAACATCTGCATAGAGTGAAGAGTGAACATTAATTACGGGTTGAAGTGACTTGGCAATGAAGTTACCCTGGGCAGTACTAATAGCCCAAAGACTGGTGGGACCAAGTAACTGACTAAAACAATTAAAATTATAAAACAAAGAAGGGTTTAGAATCACAACTGGCCGGAGGCAAACCAATTAGCCATTTACCAGCATGGCGCTAGGGAATGCTATGAACAAATTCAGCTAGCATTCAGGGTGGGACTTGAAGTTGACGCTCTGGGAAGCCCTGCAAGTCTAAAGCCCTAAATACTTGGCCATGCTGTCTCCTACATTCTGTCTCTTGTCTCCTGAAACTTGTTAAGTATTCCCCTTTACACAAATATGTGTTCAAGTGTAAAATTATTTTGCCAAAGAAAACTTTCTCTTGTAAATGGGGCTTAAGTAAGGTCAATGGTTCAAAAATTGTTGACAATTTCTTAGGCTTTCTTGGTTGATCACTGGATTTCCTCACTCGACTTTAAATGTGACTAGTCAACTTTATGCAGGATATCCATGTCACACAATATTAACTGTATGCTTTTGATGCATAAGACTAGAGGCAACCCACTTTGAGAATTTTGTAGGGTTTCTAATAAGAGTTTAGTATAAATGTTGTTTGTTATGTTTAACAACAGGTGCATTATATAATGCACATGATTTTCAGGAAACGTCAACCATGCATCAAAAGAAACTTGTCATAGATTGTTATAATCAGTGACCAGAACACCAGTCAAATCAATCAGAATCATGCAATAAAATAATATAAGATGGTATATATTGTCACTATTTTAAGTTTTGTGCATGTACATGATTTAAAGTGATTTTTTTTCAGTCGCACAAAAGCAGAGCAGGATGAGTTTGCCAAAGTGAATTTAAGGGATCTTTCAATAATTAAGACCCTTGGTGTTGGAGGTTTTGGACGTGTAGAACTGGTGAGTGTTTCATTTGTCTGTTTGATGTTGACAGCCACAATTGCTTGCTTTAGCTAGGTGTACATGTATCTATATATTATACTTTGTACTCACTAACTGTCTTCTCTTTGGCTAAGAGCTTATAGTTAATTTTGGAACTCAGTGCTTCCTACAGATTCGTGGCTGTGCTCTAGCACGGGGAGGCCCCTGGCACGTAACTTTTGCTCCTGGTTACTAGAAAATCTAATTTTTTTAGAAAAATCATATGCTGGGCAACCTGGATTTCACTGGTTCAAAGCACTGGGCACCTGTAAAATTTGGCTAGAGTACAGCCATGTGATTAGTTAGTTATTTGCGAGCAGACAACTGACTTATCTGTAGGTTGCATGTGCAAAGCCTGATTTCCAACAGCAACTTCAAACTGTGTTCATTTGGAAGTATGTTTGAGGTTATTTTCCTCAAAACAATTTATAATTAAACAATTCTTAGATTTGGTTTTTGTGAAATGTGCAATAACCAAGGTCTCGGTGACTGTTATCGGTCTTGGCTGATGACTCTTATATTGACCTGGATTATCTAGGATATCACAGAGACCTCATCCAATGTTACTAACACATAAATAATTAGAAAAGCCAGCATTTGTTCCTACAATTGTTGTCAACTTCAAATTTCTGAATTTTTTTTTCAGGTTCAACTTGCTAATGACAAGAGAACATTTGCACTAAAGACTCTTAAGAAACACCACATTGTTGAAACAAGACAGCAAGAACACATCATGTCCGAAAAGAAAATTATGATGGAAGCCAACTGTCCCTTCATTGTTAGGTAAGAGACAAATCATTTTTTAGCCTTTTGAGAAAGTTTATAATACCCTTAATGGCCTTAGCACAATAATATAGGGTGCGGTTATACTAGCAGTTTTACCCATGGGCAAATGGCTGTTGCCCACAGAGAAGCAACTGTTTTTGTGTGTCCAATTTTCCAAGGTGAAAGTGACACGGGAAAATTTCCATAGATAAAAAAATATATCTAATTATCCTCTCCCCTTAGGGAGCTTTTCAGGGATAATGAAATAAATACTTCAAACTGAACATAACAAGGTTTAGAATCCCACCTGGCAGGAGGCAAGCCAGTTGGCTATTTTACAAGTGTGGCTGATGATTTGAACTCGGTACTACTAAGAACAAACCCAGCTGGCGGTCAGGATTTCGAGCACTGCTGTGAATGTTTTCACGACTAAAAAAGTCAAAAGCAAATTGGAACATGCAGAAGTTTTCTCCACAACAGTGGTCGAAAATTCGGTCCAGAAGATGTCATTGGACCCGATTTTGAGGACCCTTAATTTGACTAGTCAGTAGTGGGTGACAATTTGCCTTTTTTAAGCGCAAATTTAATTTATTGATGTGTGCGTTTTTTTTATCAAAGGGTAAAAATGATCGAAAACGTTTTACAATTTAGTCAGTGTCAGTTAGTTTTTTCAGTGTTTACAAGGACTTCAAGTTTGAGTTTTTTTTCCTCTTGGGCAATTTTGTCGCTGTGTAGCCGCAAAAAAGAAAGTGATCAAAACCAAAAACGAACTTAACCCAAGCTAGACTTCCCAAGGGCGTCAAGGGCAGCTCTAGTGATCATGATGGACCTTTTATATCTAGCAACACTTTATTATTAGGCAGATTTGTTCATCGATTAATTTTTCTTTCTTTGACTAAACTGGCTTATTTGCTTCCGTTTTGTTTCTACAGTTATCTCTTTTCTTACAAGCTTAATTTAACCTGCAGACTAAGCATTAGCGAGGAAATTAAATTTTAAAAACAAGCCGTAATAGTACTAAAAGTCCAATGACTGCAGAGAAATTCGCGTAAAAGTCCATCAAACATTGCACCTCGATAAAATTATGATTTCACGACCGTTGCGCTTACCTCAAAAAACAACCCTCTTGCCTTTTTCCATTGTTTTGAGTCGTCAAAGTACAACTTTTTCGTGGGAGCCCAAAAAATTGTTCCTGCCATTCCTGCGGGTAATCGTCGTGACGAACGTCGGAGTAGTATTAGCCAATCAGAGTATCGCAAGAACACTCATCAACTCACGAGCATGCCCCGAGGTGGAGGGCTCAGTAATTCGTTTCTTGGGGATGGAGAAAGTTATTGACGGCAAAGGGTGATGGAGAGGCGTTCATTTTTTCACATATGATTTGTCTGTTGTTGTTTCAGGTTATATAAGACATTTACGAATAATAAATATCTCTTCATGCTTTTGGAAGCTTGTCTAGGCGGTGAACTTTGGACCATTCTCAGAGACAAGTAAGTCATAAATCAAATACAAGGAGCCCCTCTTTCTCATTATATGATATTCTTGGATAAAACCAGTATAAATGCAGTAATTTCATAGACTGTAGCCCTAAGATCTTTGTCAAAAAAACGTTCTCGCTTCAGGGGATCATTTGACGATGGAACCACGCGCTTCTATGTAGGATGTGTTATAGAAGCATTCACGTATCTGCATGAACGAGGCATCGTGTACAGGGATTTGAAGGTTGGTATTCCTTCTTTGTATTTGCTGTGTTTCTTTGCCTTTTTGCCGGCTCACTCTCGGCTTAGACGGAGATTCGAGGAGTTTATGTTAGGGGAAGGGGTCTGCAAATATAGAAATATATTTCTTGTCTTTTGCGTGCGCAGTTAAAATGTTTAGCGGCTTTCGCTAGTGTCTCTGAGAACTTCATTGTGTACGACGTACAATAGACCGGCCTCTGTTTTCTTCTACATTTTTGCCTTGTTCTCTTACACCCTCCCGATTTTATTATATATCCTGTTTTTCGGGGTAATATTTTCCTGGCTTTATGGTGGCTCTCTTGCGGGACAGAGCTTATTTTTTCCAATTCAACCAACCCATTTTTTGATCTCTTTATTTTTGTAGCCTGAGAATTTACTTTTGGATTCCAAAGGTTATTGCAAATTGGTAAGTAACAGAAGAAAACGATTTGTCTCTAACCCTTTTTGAGCTTTTATCAAATTCTCTCAACTAACTCTTTGAGGAAATGTAAGGAGATCACTCACGAGAAGTTGGGTGCGGATACTGAAGCATCTCGCCCCATTTAATTTCGTATTGGTTCATTATCTAGCAGTCTAAAAATGCTGAAATGCCATAATTTGGAAGTATACTGGCATCCGTCACCCAAGAATAGAAAAATTTAATTTACTTAAACTGATACTAACATTTTCCACAAGTGAGTGCTCTTGAGGTTGCTCTTGAACACTCCAGTAGCCAAAATTAAAAACTATTTTATTAATAAATTGGTGTGTCCCTTTTTGTCAAGGTTGACTTTGGGTTTGCAAAGAGAATAGGATTCGGAAGGAAAACCTGGACGTTCTGTGGAACACCAGAGTATGTGGCTCCTGAAATCATTCTCAACAAGGTAACAGTGCTTGTGTATGTATGAAATTCATATATTCATCATTTCATCTTCACCTCTCCCGAGTACATTATGAACCAATTAACTAGGGACTTTAAGATCCAACGACGGGACGGCGACAAGAACGTCGCTTCAAAAGTGAATTTGCATTCTTTCAGTCTTTGTAGCGATTATTCCTACCCACTTACTTTGTCAATTGTAGGCGAACCCTCCTGAAGCTGAATTTCAAGGGGCCATATTCAAGCTCAGATAGAAAAAAAAATTCGTCGTTGCTTGTTTACGTCCTCCATAAAACGCGAAATGAGGCATTTTCACGTCGTAGTCGTGCAAAAACTGGAAAGAAATGTACAAAAAGTGTGATATACGTGCGAAGTTGTTGTTTTGCTAATTAAACCTATTTTTTCTTTGACGTTCTCGTTCTTGTCCGCGTCGTTGGATCTTAAAGTCCCTATTAATGACCAGGTCTCTGTGCTGGCTAGCTCAATTGTTTAGCGCGCTGCACCAGTATCGCAGAGGTCGGGGTTCGAATCCTGGCAAACCTGAATCTTTTCAGGCTTTCTTTTCGCATAAGTTACGACTTTATCTGCGAGGATCTTCCTTACATTTTTTTAGTTCTTGTGTTGATTTATCACATGGTTCCTTTGTCCTGTTTTTGCATAAGCACAGCAGTTCTCGTGTGCAGATCTTTCAAAAGAAACGTGAGACATGACTGAGATCTTGATTACAGATTTAACGATAGAAGAAAGTCTAATTTTCATGTACTGTCCTTTAGGGTCACGATCTTTCATCTGATTACTGGTCTTTAGGAATTCTTATGTTTGAACTTTTGACTGGAAGGTAGGTGTTGTGTTATTTCCGGCTTATATATATCATAACCTCTCTGTGTTGTAACTTGATTACCCCACAAATTGTAGCCAAAACGTCATTGAGGTGCGATAGCTGTTTGTTCGGATTGGCATATTTCAGGTTTTGATTCTGAGTCTCCTCAGCCGAAGCACCGATGTATGTAAAATCAGCTTAAAGGAGGGATATTTTGGGCTTAAAGCGGGGAGTGTTTCTATGTTAAGTTGTTGTGCATGGGCACCAAAGCACCTCTCCCTTAGCCCCCCACCCCTTGCTAGAACATTTTTGGAATCTTCTATTTCTAAACTGCTATATAAATTCGTCATCACTATCCTGGTCCCAAGCAAGGTTCTAAATTACATTTACCATCCCTCCTTGCTATTACCATTATTATCATTGTATTATCATCATCATCATCTTCCTCCTCCCCATCCTCCTCCTCCTCATCATCATCATCATTATTATTATTATTATTATTATTATTATTATTATTATTATTATTGCTTTGGCCAAATGAACCTCTCGGACTTCGAAGCCGATTCACGTAACCTGCCGCATGGCGGGAAAATATAAGCCACTAACAAGTTTCCCGAGTTCTTCAAGGCATTAAACAGATTATTAAAAGCGCGCGGTAGGGAATGAACGCGACTTCCGGTGGTTAATTTTCCGCTCTGCCATGTTGGTCAAGGAGGTGTTTAGATCTACGCGCCTAGCTAGTCGTCATTATTGTCGTGTTGTCTTTGCTAAATCTGCCCATGAGAGGCAGCTGTATTTGCAGGCTATTAATTAAGGCATAAAAAAGATGTTTTGAGTAAAGTCTAACAAAGGTTCCGGTTTTTTGCTCCTCAGCCCCCCGTTTACTGGATCAGACCCAATGAAGACCTACAACATTATTCTCAAGGGAATTGACATGATTGAGTTTCCACGCAAGGTCCTGAAGAACGCTCACGCCCTCATTAAAAAGCTCTGTAGGTGGGTGTCAAAAACTGTCAGTGAGTTTTTGACTTAGAGCCCGAGTGGTCGTCCTTCTTTCCTCAGAGCCACGCTCGGCGAGCGAAACAGTAAAATGATGCAAATTCTCGCAGCCTTCACTGCTCGCCTTTCAAGCGTGCTCTCGATCCACTGTGACTCAAAAGTAAAATTAGAGACTACTCGCAGACTATTTTGACTTGACGTAACAACTGTTCACAGTCAGCTTGCTTTCCAAACCTTCGCTTTGGAAACTCTTTATAGAGGCGGACTATCCTTTTTTAGTTGATAGAAACAAACTTTTGAGAACCACTGTTTGCTCTCTCCAACTCCCTTTGTTCCAAAGATGTTTGCACACAGATTTGCTTAGGGCGAAACTTGCGAATGAAAAAGAAGTATGCCCCCTCATCATCTGTCCCCTATTAAGCTTGGAATCACGCTGACTTCGACAAGGAACATAGCGTCAGAATTAATCGTCTTTTGGGTCCCTTCGGATGTAATTGCTCGCTGCATCTTCTTGATCATTTTTACAATTAAGTGAACGCGTCGTCTTAACCGAAAGTTACCGCCCAACAGTGTTAACTATGTTTTTTTCTTACGATATTGTGTTTATTCATGTGTCGGGTAGTGTCCATGCAAAAAAAAACGCTACTACATTTCTCATTTTTACTTCAGAGACAACCCTACTGAGAGACTCGGCTACCAGAAAGGAGGTCTTAAAGACATCATGAAAAACAAGTATGGAATTCGACATTGTCCTTTGCTTTGACTTACGCTCCATCTTAAGCTAAGGGACAGTTAAAGAGCTACGCGCTTGAGATGTTCCTACTCGAAAAAAAAAAACCAAATTCGCTCACTAAGTTTCTTTAATAATGAAACCGAAGTATACGGATAAAAATAATAGATTGTGCACACACATGCAAAAAATGGAACAACTTACTTAGTGTTGCAGATCACAATATTACCAATTTAGACAGTTCTTTTGTATCTATAGATTTTGCATCTGATTTAATCGCTTTAAGTTGTTTCATCTAATTTTTCAAGGTAAAAATGAAGAATCAACCAACACACTGTCCCAATAAATGTTCGGATAAGCGATAAGTCCAAAATTTAAACTTTGTCCTTATTTTTTTTAGGTGGTTTGACGGTTTTAACTGGGAAGGATTAAGGCAGAGAAAACTTCAAGCTCCCATCATTCCAAAGGTTTGTTTATTGATTTTAATTATTGTTCCTCAGTTTCGCATGCAGCCGCAACTCAGCGCATTCTGGGGAAAATAGCGATCCATCGATCCATCGCTCCCTTATGCAAAATTCGTTCATAGTTTTTCTGACACTCCGGTCAGCGGTTTCCCCTTTTTTCTCTGCCCCTAGTACAGTCCCAGAAGTCTTTGCGAAAGTTAACTTGGCCCAGTCTCCTTGTCAAGTTCTCTGTTTACTCTTTGTTTTCAGATCAAGTCTCCGACAGACGCATCTAACTTCGACGACTATCCTCCTGATGACGAGACGCCTCCGGATGACACTACCGGTTGGGACAAGGATTTCTAGTTCATAGTGTGTTCACCTCGCGTGAATCTCTCAATAATCCAATAGAGAGTTTATTTTCTCATTGTACAGAGCAAGGCAAAAGAGGGTCGTCCCAAATTGTTTGTTTTTACTCCAGAGTTAGACAGTTTTCCTCGTTTTCTTTTACAATGAGTATCGTTATTCATTTCATTTACCAACCGTTACCTTTCCTTTTCCAGTAGTTGTGGAGCCGAGCTTGCCCTAGTCCCTAGGCCTCAATTGTCCGCTCGGTCTATGCGTTTTGGGTCACGTGGACCGTTTTGAATCACCGAAATGCATTGACCGAGAAGGCCTGGGAAGATGCCGTACAGGGACTAGACAAGAGTCACGTGCTTCAGCTAAACCCATGTCGTAACTTCGCAACTTAGCTTCTGATAAATTAAAGAAAATGTTCTCTTCCTCTGTAGCTTCTACTGCGGTAACATGATTGTTCTACCCGCTATAAATTACAAATGTAAAAGACAGCTAATATTTTTCCCAGTAAGTGTTTGACATGATCTACACGGGTTTTCATCTTTTGTCGTTTCTGCAAAATATTTCTGTATAATTGTATCATGGGAAACCGACTGTCAAATTTAGCATCTGCTGTTTAATGAGAAATGATAATAGCAATATCGCAATATTTTATTATTAATAATAATAACCGTCTGTTTGTTCTTTACTTCTCTGCCTGAGAGAGTTAAATAACGGGTATGCCGACATATATTTAACAGTTTACTTGAAGGCTTCTGTGATCACTCATCCGTAATGTGAATATTTGTGGAAAATAAGTTTTGAAACAAAAATCAAGGATATCAAAGAAACTTGGCGTTTCGATGGCTTCCTCTCATCATTATCAAAAGGTAAGAAATTAACATGATTCGTGGAAATATATATGAAAGTGCGAAAAATGCATGTAAAATTTAAGCGTGAATGTGGACAAATGACAATTGAATAAACATAAATGTATCTCTAAATGGATTCTTATAAGAAAATTTGTTACATCTGAAACAGCTTAGTTTCAGACTAGAGTCTGGCAAGTCAGAGATTCATCTTATCTGTCCGAGCAACACTCAGTTGAGCAGTTTTAAAAAAGATCGTTCTGTTTAAGGACACTGTACAATACGGAGCTTGATCACAAAAAAAGCATGTTAAAAACTTAAAATAGAGGGAATTATGGTCCCCAACCTTCTAATCCCCGTGCAAACAATCGCAACATCGTTACATGTTGCGTCCGTTTGAACACACTGTTGCATGTTGTTGGGAGTTGTTGCGCAAAGTTTAACACCGGTCAAACTTTTGGAGCCAACAACTCCCAACATTTCTTTTGTTCCGTGATCGCCGAAGCGTAGCGCAACAATGTTGGAAACGGTTGCACAGCTCTTCCAACAGTGTTGGGGTCCACCGCCGTAGCCAGTATGAGGCGAACCGAGGCACTCGCCTCGGTAAAATTTTACCAAATACTGTCGATTTTTATTTTTTTTATCAGACTGATTCATACAAAGTCGGTTTATGGACGGCCCTGGGGTCACGCACGGCATTACACATGGTCTCCATACAAAGTCTTATGGATTGTATCGTTCCCACTATGCACTGCAGGTCCCAACAATGTTGGCAGTTGTTGCGTCCGGTTGCACGTAGCTTTAAGAAGTGTACGTAAATCAATGACAATAATACTGATGATAGTTCAGAGTTCTTTTCGCTCCGAGTTAACTGATTCTCACACCTTCGGTGGTTGAAATCTTGCGGCTGGCTTTCTTAAATTGTTCAAACTTCGCGTAGGTGGAACTTGAATTTCTTAATACTTAAAAGTAGAGTGGGTGATTTTTCCTGAAATTGAATTTTGGGGCTCTGTCGGAAGTGAAAGGAAAACTGAACTAAATGAAAGTGGATTGTGGGAGATTCCCATTCGACGATTTGTTAAAGGAATTTGCTTCCATTCGTCAGAAGTTTGCTGAATGGTTAATGATGTTACTTTTTAAAAATTTAATCTATTTTTAATAAATAGGCATTACGGTAAGCGAAAGTACTTCTACGAAGGGACTTTTTATTATTTTTTATTTTCTAAGATACCAACTTCATGGCGTTTTAACGTCAGGGTACGCATGCGTAGTTCAGTATCGTGTGAAACTGAACGAACCCAAAATCATCATGGAAGTGTTAATTGCAAAGAAATAAAAGTTACTACGATCATTTGGCTGCACGCGTCTCAAAAAGAGAAATATTTGACATATCACACTTTCAGACCCCAAAGCCCCTCTATTTAATTTGTTTACAAGAAGCGGCACTGTCAATTAGAAATAAAACTGAGTGCTGCGTTATTTGAACCTCACTGGGTTTTTAATCAATAAATTAGTAGTTTTAGTAAATTAGTAGTTAGTTGCAGTCCAGTGACGTCTTCTAAAACCTTTCCTGTGAAAGTCAAAATAGGGTTGACCATCAGACTAGAAATAGCCCGGAGATTTATCGAGAGAAAAACGACTATTTTTACCGGTTCTTTTTAAAGTGTTCTTTTTTTTCAGTTTTTACTTCGTGAATTTAACGGATGTTTCAGATATCTTGACTGAACTTTTCCTTTATTTCTTTAGATTCTTTCTTTCTCTTGCTAACTCGAATTATACCACAGATCTTCGTTCTCCCTTTGAGTATCGTTTTATCTAGGATAAAAGAGGTTTCAAATCCCAGGAGAGAAAAACTTATTATTGATCAAGTGACGGAGTTGGACGGTTTGTCACATGATTTATATTGTGAATCACGTGCCAAAACGTCCCTGTAGATCGCTGGGAGCTCGTAGCGGGCGTCGTTTCGTTTTCTATGCCGAGTTCTGAAACCTCGTTTACTCTAAAGATCATTATGACAGGATTAAGCAACTCTTTCTTCGCTAATATTACTTTATCCTTTACATTTCTCCATTTGAAAATGAGGAGTCACCACTGTTGGTTGGATTATTTATTTTGGACGTCCTACTCGGGAAGGAATGTTACGTATACGCAGCGCTGCACGATGGTTTTGATCAGTCAAGTCCCCCGGCGTTCTTTCTGACTTACTCCCTTGTCCGCGCAAGTCTGGGAAAGGGCGGGCTAGTTCTCGGTGACGTCACAGCTCGCGGTAGAGTCCAGGTTTCACCGAACCGAGAGCGCGTGGAGACTAGGCTGTGTTTTGATATCCAGTATCCGTAAAATGAATTGAATTTTATTGTTGGTAATTTTTGTATTTATTCTTTGTTAAGTGCAGATAATGATAAAATAAAGGATAATTAGAGAAATCTGTAGTGTAGTGGGAGCGTCATTAAAGTTAATTTTTGTAACCAATTTATATAGTAACTATCATTTTCTCTTGACTTTTCGGCATAGCAATTGAATATACCTCTTTAGCTTGTGTGTTTTATTTTGCCAGTGTAGGTTATGTGAAATTCCCACGGGAATTTGCTTGTTCGTCAGTCACACCATAGTTAGTAAAGGAGACTGGTTAGGAAACCCGGCAAAAATAATAGTTGAAAACAAAGGTGCTGTAGGTTATGTTGGAAGCTCCCTGACCGAGCACAATCCTTTGTTTTCTGTTCACAAATTATGACTGAATAAATTAATGCAATATTTCTGTTGGTCAATAACTTCAAAATGATTGGAATGCTATTGAACGTTGTGCTCGGTCAGGTCCAAAAAAGCTAACAAAAACCTATAACAAAGGGTTTGTTTGGCGAAAAATAGCGAGGAAGCCCTGTTCACAGGCTAAGGGTTTCCCAACCATTCCACTTTAACTATGGTCACACGTAATTCACATATAAGACGAAATTTGAAACAACAATTTTTTCACTCGCGTGGCCAGTATCTATGTAAACTCAAAGGAAAAACTGTTTGAATGGCCTATAATAAATCAGCCCTTTGCCGTAGTGCCAGCCCTGCATTCAGTTTTGTTTTACGTAAACTCAGTATTAAAACAAAAGAATCCTTTTCATAAGGAAAAAATCGCAGGATTTGATTGGAACACCGTAATTGCCGCCGTTTCAGTAGGGAGCTTAAGCAGCGACGTTTTTGAGCGCCGCACGTCAACCGGAAGTGAGGTATTTTCCCTCTTAACATGCCTTGATGATATAAAATTTGTATTCCTTAGCTTCTTTACTGTTATAGAGGCGATTTGACAGAAAATTTGCGCGAAACCACCGTCAAAAAATGAAAAAAGGCAACTTCCGGTTGACGTGCGTCGCTCAAAAACGTTGTTGCTTAAGCTCCCTAATGTTTTGGAACACTAACGTGGCCACCGTGACGTCTTGCGAAAGCGCTCTCTTATGTTTTAGGGTAGCACCACGTGATCTAAACTGGGAAAACAAAATAAAGAAATGAAGGTGAACTGAGATCTGTTTCTTTTTTCGTATCGCTTGGAAAATGAAATTCTGGCGGGCAAGGCGAAACCATGTAAGACAGAATATAAGTAGCCACTTCAGAGAAGAGAAGGGAGCTGGACCCGAAATGCGTCCCGCGATTGATTCTGGGATCGTTACGGGGGACCGGCCGGTCAGCTATTGGCCAATTTTTTCCTCTGTTCCCAGTAGCAGTCCCAGAAGTCTTTGCGAAAGTTAACTCGGCCCAGTTTCCCTCTCGTATCTGAGGTGGCGAATTTTGTCCTTACAGTTTTCAACTGGACGGTGCGGCGCTGATTTGGGGGCGGCACTTGAATTGCGCAATTTTTCTTTCCTGTGATAAAGATTAACTTAGCCTGTACCCAGCCAAGCGAACAGGACGTGTTCGATCTGCGCGTTTTTCGCATCAGTTGTCCCTGTCTCTGCACATTAGGGAGCTTAAGCAACGACGACGACGACGGCAACTAGAACGGCAAAAAAGCAATAGGTTTAGATTGACAAAACAACAGCTTTGCACGTGCATCACGCTTTTTTGTACATTTCTTTGCCGTCGCTTCACTTCTGCAACGTGAAAGTACCTAATCTAACGTTTTGTCGTGGACTTGAACGAAGACAACGACTTTTCTTTTTCTTTTCCTGAACTTTGGTATAGTCTTTCAGAATTTAACTCCAGAAAAATTTGCCAGCATTTGTCGAACTGAACAAGTTGGAATAAGCGCGATAAAGTTTGAAGTAGAGCGAACTCACTTTTTAAGAGACGTTTTCGTAGACGTCGCACGTCGTTGTTGCTTAAGCTCCCTATTACAATCTCGAAGCCTGGAACAGGCTAAGATCATCTACGTCAAAAAATTAATTCGCCTCAATTGGCCATTTCCGAGTTCCCACGGGCCTCTGTTTCAAAACGGGGGTAGGTGCTCAGCCTTTGATATGGAAATCATTTTTCATTCTCATGCAAATAAAACTCATTTTCACAAGATAGGTTGTGCACCTAGCCTCGTTTTGAAAGTGAGGGTTTTTGGAACTCGGAAGAGGCCTATTATATGATATAATACCTTTTTTTGGCTTGTTCGAGGGATAACCTCTTTCGAGTAAATATGTCCACGGAAATACGGTGTACACAAAGGAGTGATCAGTTCAACACAAATACCACGACTAAAATGAGCAGATGTTTAATTCTTTGATACCATACTAACACCATAATGATCATGTACATTTGATCACTTAAGCGTTCAAGAGGTGACGTCAGTGCTATGACTGCCAATAAATATTTACGAATTTTACATTCACTTTCATTAAAATACCTTGAAACATCTAAATTGTAGATTTAAATATAAGACAAATATTTTAATTTAACGACTTAACCTTACACTTATTTAGTGCATAACATAAAAAATGATTTAATTTTTAAGGCCATTAATTAAATATATACTATTTTCCACTGTAACGGTAAATAATTCCTCAATATTCGTCTGAGATATCAACTCCCTCCAAGGGAAATATACAATAATTTATTATACAACATCGCTTTGCAACTGCAACATTATGTAAACTTAAAATTACCACCGGACCCATGAAGAATCAGAAGGTGTGTAAACAATAAAACAAGAGGTTACCAACCCCCCCGGGAGGCACTCAGAAGGAAGTTTGGGTAGGGACACGCCGCCCAGAGACCTTCAAACCCTGACACTGATTAGTATAGGTAATAGCATGATTTGTAGCGATATTTGGCATAAATACCACGAGTGATATTTCAAAATTGTTACACGTAATTTCACGAGCCGTTAGGCGAGTGAAATTTGAGACAATTTTGAAATGTCACGAGTAGTATTTAGGCCAAGTACCACGGACAAATCATTCTACTATTTGTTTATACTACTACCCGCTAAAGGTTTGTAATTTCACATGTACGTATTTCAAATTAAGCTGAAATACCACTGCTCCAAGCCAATCAAATTGCAGAAATTTCTCATGTAGTAGTAGACAAAAATTGCTCATATCAGTACCTTGTTATAGAAAAAAAGACCTTATTTCATAGCCCTGGTTAGTTTCTTTTTGCCTACAGAATTAAGTAATTTTTCAAACTAACATAATGGAATTAGATTTTATGGCTCATCGCCAGCCTGTTCAAGACGAATAATAGTGAAATTGTATACCCTGTTTAAGATTCAGGACCCTGAAAACCATAACCAGTTCTGCGGCACATAATTATCCATTTAGGCCAAATAAAGGAGTGCTGCACCCCTTGGGTTACCGACCAACAACGAGAAGGGTGATTTGTTCATAAACACCTCCACTGCAAAATTATATCCATTTTAGAAATTACCTTTAATTCTCTATAACAATTGGTATCTTTAAGCAGCCCCCCCCTCCCCCACCGCCACCAAAAAAAGTTTTTCTGCCCAATCGCCAACCAAATATGAACATGATGCAAGAGTCCAATCTACAGAACAAAGCTGTTAATCCTGTAATATCATGACATAGAAATGACTCCTTACTTCTGGCGTGAAATGTCGGCGTTAATTCAGAATTTCACATGTGACATTACGACACTGCCATGGCAACGTTCCGTGCCAAAATGGCACAAGAAAAAAAAGGACAATTTTAAACAGCAAGGAGGATTCTTACCCGGGGGGGAGGGGGGCACTTGGGTATTTTTCGGGTGGGTATGTGCCGCCCGGGACTCCAAATTGGCACCCCGTTCTAAAAAAAATTTCTCCTGAAATTGATACCCCGTTCTAGAAATGGGCCAATTTTTTATACCCCGTTTTAGAATTCGCTTTAAAACTGATACCCCGTTCTAGAAATGGGCCAATTTTTTATACTCCGTTCCAGGGTGCAACAAGAGTATAACAGTTTGCTTGTTAACGCATTGAACCGTATTTTTAAAAGCAATCTGTCCTTGAATAATTTCAAATGGCTGCTTACAAAAGTGGAGCTTTCGTGCGTTCGAAATATTATACCCCTTTCTAGAAATCGCCTCTGAAATGAATACCCCGTTCTAAACCAGGAGCTTCAAAATCACGACCCCGTTGGGCGGCACATACCCGTATAGGTAATGTATGGGAGTGCCCCCCCCCGGGATTCTTACGGGTTATTTGCAGAAAAATTTAGAAAAATGTTACCTTTCCAGTGCATGGAGGTCTCAATACATGAACAAGTCGAAACTTACAGTTATAGTTTACTCGTAAAGGTAGGAAATAATTTCACTTGTGTTTCATCAAAATTCTAACAATTTCCCCCCAAAATGACTCGAATTTTGGACAAAACGCACGTGAAATTACCTCCTAATTTCACTCGTTCGTCATCACTTGATCAAACATACTGAAATATGGCAACGCCTATGACAAAAAGAACGGAAAAATTCAAATTACGAAAAAATAAATAGTATCACAAAAAGGACTTTGGAAACGTTTTTGGAGAGTCGTAAACACCACTTAGTTTCAGTCACAAACTGTAAGTTAAAACTATATTACTTCTAACTGAGATTTCGGGGCTTTCAAAACGTATGTAAAAAAACGCAAACTAAAAACAGTCAAATTTCCAGCCTCATGGCGAGTGATGTATGTGACATCACCCACCAAGCTTGACACAAGATTTGGTTGCAAGCTTTCTACGTGTCGACCCCGTCGACAAATATCCGTTGTTGTTTGAAAAAGGATATTTTTTTGCTCTGGTTTGGCCTACCAACCACGCGTATCCGGTGGAAACGTTTACCGAAAACGCATCTTTTCAAAAACGCTCTCCAGAGTGGAGATTTTTTATAACGCCGGCTACTCCTTTACGTGTGGATCGACGAAAATGGAGGTTTTCGAATACGATGATGTCATGCATCATACACGAATAGCACTACGCTTAGCGTTTTCTTGTGGAGTGGAGAAAACGATTCGAACACGCTACGATTTTGACAACAGGAAAAAAAAAATCCTTTTTCAAAATATCGGGATAAGTCTGAATGAGGCCGTAACTTAGTTTATACTCACGCTAGCTGTTGTAAATACGCTTCGTTTTATACTCAAAGGAGTAGCGGGTCTTTTTGGCTTTCTTTGCTCTGTCACGCCTTCAGCGTCCTTGCTTCCGGGCGGGACATCTTCATCAACTGAGGGCTCCTTCTTCAAGTTAATCTTTAGACGCAGCGCATCTCTTTGCGGCTTTACTACGCACCCGTCATCCAAACTCTTCCTTTCAACAGAGGACGCACTGACGCAGCTGGACTCATCGCTCTCATGAGTCGAAGGATGAGTTTCTTCTGGAGAAGAGTGGTTTCGACAGGTAGCTCCCTCAAGTTCGTTTCTTTGCGCATTCCTCCTTATGTCTTCGATGTTTCCGTAGCGTGGAGAATGCGGCGGGAAGTCTCTATCCTCCATTTCACCACCATCAGAGTCTGACGAAGGAGAACGAACACGCTGACTGGTATGGGTCCGAAAATATTCTTTAGCCTGAGTCCTTCGCTCGCCCTTGGGTGGCCGGCGGGGTATTGGATGCGACAGTGATTCTGGCGACTGGTGAGTGTCCGACAGTATTGGAGGGTTTGAATCTGAAATCTGGAAAATAAATAAAATTACAGTGAAGAAAGCGGCACAGTAGCACGTTTGTAGTACCGAAATGAAAAAGTCAGCAATTTCAAATATCAAGTCGTCAAATAGAAGGAGTTTCTTGGTGCTGCGGACTAATGCGATCACCAAATGACGCACCGTAAATCCTCTATTAAGCCTTCCCCCCCCCGGGGGGGGCTTATTTATTTCAAACACATTTGACGGGGTCTTAACAGAGACAGGGGGCTTATTTGAGAGGGAGGGGAGGCTTATTTGATTTAGCAAAAACGATGGTATCAGTTCTTCATAAAGAACTAGAATACAAAGTGGAAAACTCTAGTAACAAGAAGCTGGAGGTCATGCAGCCGAGGATCAAAACAAATCCGAACTTCCAATTGGTGAATAAACCATCCTGGGTCAGTCCACATGAAGTTTTACAGTCGTGATTGATTAATGCAGTTTATCATTTATTAGTGAAAAATAATAATGGGGAGGGGAGGGGGGGCTTATTAACTTTCTTTCTCTCAAAAAGGGGGGGGGAAGGGAGCTTATTAAAGAGGGAGGGCTTATAGAGGATTTACGGTATTACAAAAGGATTGAAAAGACACTGAACAATATACCCACAACCTAACACAAAGGCGAACCGACGGTAGTTTCCGCAACACCAAGGAACAAACCCAAATAGCCGTAAATGCTGGAATGAGCGCCCCCTTCAAATTTGCGCCTCCCTGAGGCAAGAAAGAATATTAATAAGTGCCCCTTCTGAATAAGCCTCCCCCTTAACAACCCTATAAATGTAATCAATGAATGGAGCAACACTTGTCCGATTACTGCTATTTCTCCTTTTCGGGGGAGCGCGGAAGTCAGCGGAAAGGTAAGACATACAGAGATATCGGAAGGGTGTAATTCGAGCATCAACGGTAATTTATACAGCCGAATTTGACGAACCCATCATTACCTCTGGCTTAAATGGAATAAATGATAGACTATGTTAATCAATCACGACTGTAAAACTTCATTTGAGCTGATCCGGGAATGTTTATTCACATGCTGGAAGGTCGGCCTCGTTTTTGATCCTTCGCTGCATGACCTCCAAATTTTTTTTATTTTAACGGCTTGTCTGGACACAGGCCTGCCCAGAGGGAATGGGCACGAACGGGACTCATAGGTCCCATGCAAGGTGCCATCCCTACCCAATCCCACAACCCGTCATGAGAGGTTGGCCACACCACCGGGGTCCACGTCCCCTACTCTTTCCGAACAGTAGCGTGTGTTCTTTTACGTCCCACAAGAACAGATCAGTGAAAGTGCTGTGAGACGGGACCTACGGTTTTTTGTCTTTTTAGACTAGAAATTCTAACCATTTGCAGATGTCATTACAGAGACAGCACTTTCTTCTCAGTTATTTAACCCTTTAAGCCCCAATATCCACACACAAATTCTCCAAACTGATCTCTATACATTTCCATTAAGAATTAGTTCAGAGAATTGGATAAAAGATCAAAGTATTTTCTCTCAGGTGATCATTTTATTAAATCTCATAACCTAATCTCATGATAATGTATGGATATCGTTAGGAGAAAATTGCTGTTGGTCACTATTGGGACTTAAAGGGTTAAAGACCCTAGGTGTTGGTCCGGCCGCGGTTTGAACCCGCGACCTCCCGCTTAGCAGACCGGCGCTCTCCCAACTGAGCTAACCAGGCGGCTTCTTGTACTTTGAACTTTTCCACTTTGCATTCCAGTTCTTTATGGAGAACCGATAGCATCGTCTTTTCTAAATTAAAGAAGCCCGTCCCTCTAAAAGCCTCCGTCTCTATTAAGCCCCCGCCCAAACTTGTCTGCAATAAATAAGCACCCCGGGGGGTTAATAGAGGTCCGCCCCGGGACACAAACGGCACACTAGCCATTTAGTTGCATACATTACCTTATCGGATGTCGCACAACTCGTAGGATCCTCAGAATCTGAAATTGAATATTAATTCAAACTTAAATTAGTTTCATTATTCTAACAACTGCAACATACTCAACCCGTTTCAGCCACCAGAGCAAAAACCCAAATTTCCCGAGCATGTACTACCACATGGCTATTATAGTATCAGAACGTACGTACAACTCTTTCCCTGATTTTTCCAATTTTCTCTCCTTTTACGGCCATCAAGTTATGACCGCTTCCCTAGCGTTCTTTAAAGGAACCAAGTGACGGTAAGTTCCCTGCCTGTACTTCTTCACGCTAATTATATGTTCAAAATTTACGGTGACATAACATTGATTATTTTTCGCAAGATTGTCGAGATCGAGCGCAAGTTACTGGAAAGGGAGGAATGTACCAAATGTAACCTGGAGAAAGAATACCACATCTTTTCAAGGGAGGGAACACCCTTAGTCTCCCTCGCAGCCGTATTTGTCTCGTCACGTAACGCTCCTCCCGAGGAGCGTTGCGTGTAGAAACATTGGGCCAGTTATTTAAACGGAGTTTAGCCAGTGTTTCACAAAACCACGTTTTAAGCCATTTTCAGATTGCCGAACGTTTTACGTTAACACCATTTTTCTTGAACAGTTTCCGGCATGAAAGCATATGGCGTAGACTAGAAAAGCATTTCTCTTCTTAAATAACCCAGTAAGGCCCGGTTCAGACGCCGAACTTTTCATGAGCCGAACCTAATTCGAATTAAGGCCGATCCAAATTATTTAAACCGGCTAAAGTGATTCAGACGCCGATCTTAATTCCAGCCGAACTAAATTCAGAAGGCGAAAAATGCGCATTTCGGTCAAACTGCTTACAAAATACGTTGTAAGAATTTCTGCATTTGGTTCGGTACATGAAAAGTTCGGCGTCTGAATCAAAGGCGTTCCAAAGTCGATCCGAAGGTGAAATTCCCGGCCGGGCTAGGCGAAAAGAACGGCTGAGCCGTTCCAAATTGAAACAGGCGTTCCTAATTGATTTAGACGCCGAACTTTTCATGCACTTAATTCAATGTATTAAGTTCGGCTCATGAAAAGTACGGCGTCTGAACCGGGCCTAAGGAAGAGATCCTGAGGACCAAAGATATTATAAACCCCAGTTTTTAGACTTCGTTTAAATCACCGATCCATTGTTTTTGGTTTTTGTTCCTCAAATTTGTAACAAATGAAACTATAGAATCTTTAGTTTTAAGAACCAAAGAGCTTCTGGTTGGCACATTAATAGTGAACTTACACAGAAGGATAGAGGGGAAAAGAAGACGGCAAACCTTGTGTGACAAGCGTGACAATAATTATGTCTGAAAAAACTGTTCCCCCAAACTTCATCTTCCTTTAACAGGTCTTTTTGTACAAGAAGATCACGACAAAACTTGCAGGTAATTGTCCTGTCACGTTTTTCACACACAACTTCTTGCCATCCTCTTCTTCCTGCCGTACTGTTGCGTTAAGGTCATTAATATCAATAAGTGATCCCGTGGAGGGGCCCTACAACGAAATTGCCGCACACTTACCCGAATTTTGCCTTTCAGACGAATCGTCCCGGTTTTCAGGCGACGAACAAGTAAGTTGAATGACAGGTGTCCGTGCAGCCGATGCTTTGTTGGCTGGCTGTACTTTCTTATTCTCCGGAGACTGGGTGTTTCGTGGGGGTACGGGTGGGGGAGGCAAAAAGTCATCCTTCTGTCCACCGCTGCTGTGATGTCTGCCTGTACTAGAGCTGCTGTGTCGCCTTCCTTCCCTCGGGGGTGGAACAGCGGGTTGTGGGTGACGCGTCGCGTGTTGAGGTGGGGGAGAATGAACGGGAGAAGCAGCTGACTTAGGAGAGGGGGGTGATCTCGGTATCCTTGGGGGTATAGGTGGGGCATCAGACTTCTTTCTCGGGGGGATGGCAGGTGCAGGCTCTTGGAAATCGCCTGAGGGTAGACTTCCGCTATCCGCGAGTCGCTCCACTTGCCCCACGCTTTGGCGAAGGCTGTCAATATACTCGTAATTCTCATAACTTCTATTTGCATTTTCATCTTCAGATTTCCTCCTGGGATTTTCTGGTCCTGAAGCGTTACGCTTTGTAGGAGTTAAAGGTTTTGAGATGTCATCATTTGATACATCTTTGTTTGGCGATTCCTCTCTTGAGACCTTCTTAAAAGAGGTTTTCTGATTATTTTCATCTTTCTTTTGGTCACCCTTCGTTACAATGCGTAATATCTTCGAGGCCGACGTTTCTTTGTCTTTCTTCGATTTCTCTTCACTAGATGACTTTCTTTTATCTTTGGGTGACGTTTTGGAATTTTTTCTCTTCATCTTGGGAGACGTTTCTGGTGAGTTGGTTTCGCTTCCTGTAAATCGTCCTTGCAAATCCAAGGCATCCCCCGGGGAAAGAGACTCTCTCCGAGGTCTTTCCGAAGGGCCCGAATAATCATCGTCATTTTCTCGCGAGTCGTTGCTCCCTCGTCTCGGTTTCGGCGCGAGTTTCTTTACCTTTTTCACAAACTTACTCGCTTTCGAATCTTTACGTCTCGACATGTCGCATTGCACGTCTTCGTCTAAATTCTCGGTAGATTTACGAACCTTATCTCCAGAATCTGTAGTGTTAAAAATCACCTCGTCTGTTATTGCACAGGTAGCGGCGCTTCCTCCATCACCAATCGGACATGTCGCTATATCTTCTCTGGTAGCCACAGTTTGAGCCCGGAAGGCAGAAAACTGTGCAAGTTCATCTCTGATCTCGGTGTTTTGTATAAGCCGGGCATGTATTGCAGCTTCGCCGCCGCCTCCGAGTTGACTCGCGCTAAAGTTGGCCCTTATCGGCGACATCAGAGTCTGAGGATTAACACTCTTCAGGCCTTTCGCGAAAAACGTAGACGACGGGCGATGCATGTTTATTAAGTCCGGCCGCTTATGTAAATCCTCAGAGATGTCGCCCACAGACAAACATGCTTTTCTCCTGTCCAATGTCTCTGGACGAAGTGGAACAGGAGGAGGCCCGGGGCTAGATGCACGCGGCAAGAATCCTTCGCAAGTCGACTTGCTCTTTTCAATCACAGTGTGTTTCTTGAAAGGGGAGCCTCCCTTGCTTTTGACCTGGTCAGCGCGGACAGCCTCTAAAGGTACTGCTCCAATACTGTTCCGTTTTCGTGTCGCCACAGGGAAAAGTTCGCTGACGTCATGCTGTAAGGGTGTTTCCATTTGAGCGATAATTTGATCTAAGAGCTTTTTAGAGGACTCGGGATCTCTGGCTTGTTCTAATAACGCATGCGCTGCATCGACTTGGCCAGCGGCGACTAAAGAAGTATTCAACCCTTCATTGTCCGTGTTAGACTGAGTTGGCGGGAAAACATCTTCGGACTTGAGCGCACGCTCCCTCTCTAACTTCGGTTTTGGCGGGAAAGTTTCAACATTAGGATCCTTTATTTGAGCAACCAAATCCTCCTGCATTTTTCGATTAATCCTGGGGTTAGCTGGTGAGAGTTCTAAGCCGCCAGTTTTGACTGTGGTTACACCATTAGGAGAGCTTGGGAGGCTCCGTCTTTTAGTACTTGATAAATTAGACATCTGATTTTCGGGCGCGTTTTCAGACGCTAAAACACCAACAACATTTCCGTTTCCATCAAGTTCTTTTTCCCCGGGTCCTGTTTGAAGGGCTTCACATCTGATGTATCCCTCGGCGTCCGTCTCATCGGCCTCAGGAATCAAACGCGGACTCGAAAGGTTCCTTGGCAAAGATCTATTGCGCATGCTCCCATCCTCACTGGTCATCGAACTCGTGCTTGTCAGTGACTCGTTGGACATTTTCCGTGAGTGAACTGGGTCCGAGATGTGAATTGGCTCAGCGGTGCTATCTGAGAGCAGATCTATGTAAGCACTAACCTCGCTGGTGTCCGTGGCTTCTTGGACGCCGTCATCAATTTCACAATACGGCGTGGGCTGAGTGAGAAAGACTTCATCGTCTCCAGGCTTCTCAACAGAGGAGTCAGTTGCTGATCGGGGTCGAAGGCCTGGGCTTGAGGCAGACCCATTTGGTAACCCGTTCACTGTAACAGCAGTACTGTCGTTCTCTGATTTCTGGTCAGCGGTAGGATCCGTTTCAGAGCGTAGTCTCTTGGGGTTCTCAGCCAAATGTATCCTGTCCTTCCTTGTCAAAATCCTGGTCAGCTTTTCAGGGGGTGCAGTATTGGTCCGTGAGATTCTTGAGGAATGAGAGGGTGGGGAATTTCTAGGGTCACTGCCGTTTAATGACTGGCCTCGGACAAAAGCTTCACGTTTCTGCGCTGCTGACTGAAATGCGTGCTGTGATTGCCGGCGGATTTCATCGATGATGGTGTCGCCATGTTTAGTAAGGAACTGAAAAATCCCTTCACCAGTAGCGCTGCGTCTGTGAAGTAAAATAAAAAGGATGTTAAAACTCATCGTCACAATCAATGATTAGCTTGCCTATTTACAATATTTTCATGATTACCCTCCCCACCTCCCTCACGCGAAGCAGCTCGGACGAGTCTCTGCCACAACATCAAAGTTTCAGCACTTCTACATCTGCAATGCATGTTAAAAAACACTCACAGTTGCGTGGATTTTACACATGTATCTCTCCCACAATCACTATGTACTCGATTTACCACCCAAAACTACTCAACTTCTCTGGAATCTTAGAGCAACAGGTCTAAACAAATGTATCTCCAAGTGCTACTGATAGGCTGAAATGTAGTTTTGCTTCAATTGTCAATTATTGTTCCTTAAAACAACTGAATTGACAGATACGCTGGATAATTAAGATGCTTGCTTTCAGCTTAAATCAACTTTGAAATTGAAGAGTTTCTTATCTTCAAAGAATAACATCAAAACTAATTACAAAAGTGGCTCATAGACACTTCTATTGCCTTTCTGGCACAAGTGTATATAGTGGAGGCGTATGTGCCCGAGTGAACTCTGGATCTGGAGGTCCAGGGTTCACGCCTCGCCCATCACATTGTTCCCTTAAACAAGGAACTTACTCCACTTCGTCTCTCTTCACAGGGTGTGAGCCTTTACCATTTTTTAACAAGTATAAATAAGTAGCTGTGTATTACCTGCCAGCATTCAGTGTAAGAAGTTGCATGTCCTTGTCACCAGCAGTCTTGGCAGGTTCACTTAAGTATGATCGCAGATGACCCACATGCCAAGTCACAATAGTAACAGTTTTGTCAACAGACTTAAGTATCACCTGCCCCTCTGAAATGCATAACATGTAGTCCCCCCTGATGTTATTCTGCTCTGAAAAAGGAGTCAGTCTCGTGGTAACAAAAAAACCTGGGAATCAAACAATACACAAAATCAGCCTGCCCATAGTGGTACAAATGTATACATAAACATGGACTTTCACAATCTGAGGGTGGGTGTGGTCTTTCAAAATTTACAGCCCACACCCTCATCAGAGCAACATATTAATTTCTATAACTTTAGCCTTGTTCTAGGCTCCAAGAGAGAGAGGAAAGCAGATCAAGAAAAGTTGCACATAGATCGCATAGGTGCTGGGGAGAGACGGAGTAGTGGAGCCCGTAAGGATTGTTTTCAATACCTCATTCCAGTATATCAACTCCTCGTAAACCCTATGATTAGTAAATTGTGACAATATACTTTGACACTCACGTCAACCATTTGGCTTTGCATGTACAGAGTCTAACAAACATGCTAAGCATGTGAAACCCTCCTACGCTGCACCTTTTGACGTCTTGACATTTGACATTTTGACACAAGAAACCCTTTTTCAGCAAGTGTTCAGGGTAGCAGGCAGATGGAGGTTATACATGTATTTGAAAAGATGCTTATATTACAGGTTCTCCAATACTCTCTTCCTGTAATTTTTCGCTCGTTTGCTATTTAACTGCTTGCTTGGTTTTTCCCTGGTCTGCACAGACCGAGAGCCTAGGACAGACAACTGTAACTTAATTTTAAAAGTAATTTTTTTTTCATGACCCAAATCAGTTTCTATGATAGGTCTAGTAACGAAAGTCTATGAAAAGGCCTCTTTTAACAAGAAAATAGAAAGATAAAACCTGTCTCCTCTAAAGACTAAAGCATCATGGAATAACATTTATTTTCCCATTATTCATTTAACACGACACATTGTACCCTTGGAAAATATCATGTGCTTGGCAAAAGCAACCTAGCAAATGACCATTTTTAACAAATTCAGCAAATTCGTTATGAGAATTCTTTTTTAAAAGCAAATGAAGACAAATATATGTATGACGCCCTTTAAATTAAAAATAAGACACGACTTTATTACAATGAAAAAATTTTGATCTACACTGTATAATTAAAAAAAAAAACACCGGAGCACTAATGCAGGTATCAATGTTTGGAAGGAGATGGGGGCTGTGGGTATAGGTGTGGCATTTGAATTTTTCTGCCTTTTTTTGGTCAAATTCCCAACCCTTGGGACTCGAAATACCGTAAAATTCCGAAAATAAGCCCCAGGGCTTATATTTTTCACAGGCCCTTTTTGAGGGGCTTATTTTTGGAGGGGCTTATATTCGGAAGGCCTTATATACGGAGGGAACTTTGCATTTCAAAATCGCCTAGGCTCATACTTGGAGGGCAATAATTTGTGTCAAAATCGATTGGGCTAGCTTATAGTTGAAAGGAAAATTATCTCAGTAATTTGCAAAAAGTTTTTACTAAAACTCGCTTTCAGGACATAGACCTTTCTAAAGCGTAGGCATGCCACTACTTTGTCAATATGGACCGAGGAAATAAAAGCTAAGAGTGAAGAGGAACCACGCCCACAGCAATTAACTGTGACACTTTCTGACTACAAACACTTTGCACACATGTGATAGTTCTTTGGCAAATACAAAAAATATATGTTACTGTACCGTTCTTGCTTTGTTTTATGTTGTATTTGAGGGCACTTTTCAAGTATAAGCACCCAAGGGCTTATATTCGGAGGGGCGATTTAACGGTGGGTTTTTTGTGTTACGAGTTTGAGGGGCTTATGTTTGGAGGGGCTTATACATGGAGGGGCTTATTTTTGGAATTTTACGGTGGTTCAAATCTGATAAAATATCCCTACCTGAGGACAACAAAACTGTGTAATGACATGTATTAAAAGTAAACATGGAGAAATTTGAAACATACATTTCCAACTACTGTACGTTATCGAAGGTACCATATTTTTTCGGTTAAAAGACGCACCCAAACTTTTCAATGCAATTTTTCCAAGTTGACAAACTGAAAATTAAGCCAAAATTAATACCCAGCTATATGGCACAGCCACGATTTTCGGCGATCTTCACCTTAACTACAACAACACGCTTTCCAACGAGGCTGATTACAGCCATTCACCTATGTGAACAAAAGCGAAAAAGGTTACATATTTCAATCAAAAGCAAAAAAATCACACATATCAAATGGAAAGCATTTTTTTCTAAAGCTGCCAATAGTTAGGGAATCTGTTTTTGTTTCATAAACAAATCAGCTGTCTTGGTTGCGGCATATTGACTTCAGTACATGCATCGCTAGTATCAAGATAAAATCGATCGCATAATACATGAGCCTGAATATTTTGTGCCAAATCTGGTAAAATTAAGCCCTTGTTTATCAAAATAACTGTGATAAAAGTGCTCTCACAGTTCTATTGACAGATTTGGGAGCTTTCTTTGGAAAATAAAGGTCTGAAACAAGCACAAGATTGCAGTGTGGAAATGACTATAATCAAACTGCCATCTTGGGTCAAGCACATGCTCAAAAATTTGCCTCGTTGCCAAGCATCAACATTCAGTTCAAAATGATCGACGCCAGATGATTTGCTTTGAATGGAAAAGGATTCGTTCGTCATTTAATACCAGCTTTAGAAGATGTAGAAGTCATTGAAAACCAATAACAAAGAAGAGGATGAGCTGCTAGAGCTTTTGGAGTCAAGAATTTGACTCAATTTTGTTTTGTTCCCCACAGCTACTCGCTTATAAGACACACCCCGAAATTACAACAGATTTAGAGTTATCATGCAAACTTTCGTTGAAAAAATGCTACACCTTATGAGCGAAAAAATATGGTACATGTAGATTGAAGAAGTATAAAGTCTGCCCAACTACCTATGAAAATATTCCAAAATTGAATCCATATGGCTGTTAAAAACCTAGACGATTTGTACTTTGCTTATGCCATGTAAATAAACTGGTTTTAGGTCACCAACGAATTTAGGTTCAATAAAACAGTGAAAGCACTTCTTTAATCAGTCAATTGAATGATTTAAAAAGGCTGAAAATCCAGCGCGGGTTTCAGCAGAATTGAACTGCAATATTCTTCAACCAACTTTTAAGTTAATATACTCAATACAAGATGGAAAGCTGTAGTGGTATTGCATTATCAAAAAAAGTAATAACTTGACATATTTATACACACTTACATGTACTGATCTACAACTTTTCCGAGATGGCCCTTCTTGAAACACGAATTTACATGAAGGACCCAGATCTCTGCACAGTAAAATTCAAATGTCTGCAGTCTAGGACAAAATTTGTGGTGAAAATCCCCAAATATGGGATAAAGGAAGTGTTCAAATGTTACACCCATGCCTGTACCCCTGTCTCCGTGTAAACATTGATACCTGCATACCGGTAATTACCTAAAAAAAATGATAATATGGACC